TATCCGAATCTGCCTACATTATGTGCCAGTAAATGTATCATGCAGGTCGAAGGTAGGTGAGGGTTATCCGAGATGTCGATTTGAGTCATGGACAACGGCTCGAAGACAAGGCGAGTGTGGCGGAGGTATCTGACGAAAGACGCATTCTCAAGTTTAAGCTTGTCTGCTCACCGACGATGTATCTTGCTATTGGCAACAGTTTGGAATTCGATTTTCGGTTGGTAGCGGGCAGCACCACCATCCTCGATCCAAGACGAGAGATTTTTGCACTGGCTGACGTCGAAGGTTTCGAGTTGATGGCAGCCCTCCGCTACGGCCTCGACACCTATTCCGGTAACTCGCACACATCCACGCACAGATAGGTGTCGGAGTGAAAGGAGGTGAAGACCAATGCTTCTCAAGGAAGGGTCGGAGATTGCAGATCCACAGAATGCCATGTTAAGATACTTCAATTGTGAGCATTGTAGGGCAAGAACCTCGGTTGCTGTATCTGATAATGCGCAGCAGAAAGTCTGATTGCGGTTAGTATCTGAGTTGAACTTTTTGATTTCATGTGGAAAGGCTCATATTACCAGATCAAGCTCCTCCAAGTTCTTCGCCGCATTGGTTAGGTGCACGATAGCGTTGTCTGTCAGGTATGTGCAATCCGCCAAGCAGAGCTTCCGCAGGTTGGTGAACTGGGCGCTTCCCCAGTATTTGAACCCTTGGTCCGTAATTGTGGTGCAACGAGTCAAGTCCATCTCTTCAATCCGACCAGCAGCATGAGACGCAATGTGATGCATGGAACGATCAGTGACGTGTTTGCAGTAAGAAAGTGTGAGTTTCTTCAACTCTGGACAGCCGTACACTGTGCATTCTGCCGTCTGAATTGAGGGTTTGATAGATGACGATTTGCCTTCGCTAGGCTTTTGATCGGCAGGTACAACCCATCCGACAATTCGTGCAAGGAGTGTATCTCCGACCTTACGACAGTTGCTCAGGTCTACCTCTTGGATGCGTATAGCCTTGCTGCACATATCGAGGATGGCAGATGCTGTAACATCCCATACGCTCTTCATCTTCCACACAGTGGTGTTCGGAGCGCAAGTAGCAGATAAGGCCGTGAAACCTTCGTCGGTGATATGGAAGCAGTTGTTGACGTTGACGGAACGGGCTCGGGTTCCGACAAAGGGACAGATGATTTTGACGAGGACGTCATCGGTAATCCTGCGGTTGTAGACGCTAAGGTCTAAATCGCGCAGAACGTCTGGAGATCTGGTCAAGATCTCGGACCAGTGGGATGACACTGCTCTTAGTCGGAGAAGGTGGTGGAGTTCGAGGAATTGGAAGATATTCAGCCATACACTGTCTGGAAGAATACCGTTGGAACCGTCCTTGCGGGGACGTTCGAGTTTATAAGGTTTTGAGAGACCGACCGTTTCTGGAAGAGCGAGTGTCGAAGAGCTACCAGAGCGTGGCTCGGTAGGAGACGAGCGCTGGTGCTCGCCTGAGACTTCTTCAGGGGCCAGCGGAGCCACTGAGCCGCGTCGGTTGCGAAGCCGCACTTTATCAAGACCCATGCTGAGATAAGGGTCGGGATCAGATGGCCGCAACACTGCCTGATCTTGGTCTTCGACTGACGAAGATTGATGTGGACCATCAAGCTCAGTCTCAGTGAGTGTCAAGAGGGGCATTGAGCGTCGACGAGAGGAAGTAATTTTAACCCTGTCCTCAAGCGCGAGATCACCCATAGAAGTTTGGGGGTCCGTCTCATCCGACATGACGACGTCGCCATCGGCTGCAGCTTGAAGCCTTTCTTGGGCAGTTTGTTCCACTTGTTCTCGCACGCCACTGGGACATTTCTCCCAAAATTCAGCAAGGACGTCTCCGCCGAGCATCAGACATTCGACGGAAGTGACGGAACGGACCGTGGCGGTCCGTCGTGGTGCTAGGGCTAGACTGACAACTTCGCCGAAATATTGGCCCTGCTTTAATCGAGCTTTGATCTCGAATCCTGGCTGTTCTATCCCGTTTGTTTTATTATTAGATGTGTGCTTCTGATCGGTCTTTTCGGTTAAGACCTCTACCTCGCCGCGAACAATGAAGTAGAGTTCACGGCCTTGCGAGTCTTGTCGTATGATGTCGGTGAATGGAGGAAAGGAGCGCGGTTGAGCATTGAGACCGAGGAAATGAAGGATGTCGGCTGGCAAGCCAGAAAAAAGAGGAAGCTCTTTCAGTAAGAGCCGTACATTTACCAATCCGTTTGCCAAAGCACTGGAGCCGTCCCGGCGGCCGGGGCTCGGGGACTTCCTCTTCTTGTACACGGACTTGGCACTCAGATCCTCGTCATCTTCAGCAACGGCTAAATCCCTTGAGAAGCTTTCGCGCAGTCTTTTTGATCCCCTCCGCGCGGGACTCGGCGGCTCTAGATCCAGCGCAGGCGCAGATGTTTCTTTCTTCTTCTTTTCCAAGATCATCAAGCGCTCCTGCGCCTCCTCCCGGATAGCCTGTTCAACCTCAGGAAACCGGGGCAATATATTCCGAAAATCATCCTTGGTGAGCACGACCAGCATGCATCGAGTCCGGGCGATAATGGTTGCAGTGCGAGGACGGTCCATGAGCAAGCCAATCTCGCCGAAGAACGCACCAGGTTGGAGCTCGGCGTATATGCTCTCACCATCTCTGGATGTGACCGAGACAGCGCCCCGCACCAGCCAGTATATTGCCTTGGCCTCATCGCCTTCCGTCAAGATGTAATCGTTGGGCGCATGGAGCTGCGGGCGCAGGTGCTGTCCGACCTCAATCAAAAAGGATTCCGGTGTGGCTTGAAACAGCGGGAAGGAGCGCAATCGATCTACCAGCTCTAGCGGCAATGCTTTGATGTGGGAGGAGGCCAAGGGCGAGGGTCGGACGGGACGGTTTGGGTTCAGGACCGAATCGAACGAGTGTATGAGGGAGACGGTATCGGACATGGGCGAGGCGGCCTTGGTTGGCCCCCCACTCGACCTGCCATGGCGACGCATTTTGATCGAAGTCGCGATTGAGAAGGGAGAGGTGGGAGGAATAGTTCAGTCGTTACGGCCCGGCCTAGAGAGCTCAATAAGGCGATGACGTCGACGATAGCAGCGTGGTCGAACTTCGCATTGGCATTTTCAACGCCCAATGGGGTGAAATGAGCTAGTATGGCGAGCTCCAGGAAACAGACATTGCAGGGTAGGAAAGGTGAGGAAAAGAGGAAGTGTCAGAGCTTCGGTAGGTGGGGGGTTTGAATCAGCGACGTCAAAGTTCTCCACCGATCACCTGGGATCCTTCGGAAACTCTATGGAAACCTCCACTTACCAATGACTTCGCGTTTTTGGGGGAAACATTTCATATATTATCGCTACTTTTTCGGTGGGGGTGACCGGTCAATCCTCTTTGAACCTGCATGCGGGATCGGCTCTACAGACAAAGAAAGTACCAATATACGTCTGAATAAGTCTACATCCGGTCAAATTCGCTCTCGATTGAAATATACTGTACTTTTATATACTTTTATATACTTTTATATACTTTTATATACAGATCACGCATTATGCCAATTTCTCCATTAAGGTCTCCGTTAAGATCTTCATCAAAATCTCTCTGAAGATCTCTGACTCGCATGTCCTGCAGAATCCGGTGGGTCACGTGTGGCAATGTAGTAGTGAATTTTCGGGAGAATGTGCGAATATTTGGTTATAATGAGACAACTGGGTATCAAACTGTAGATAATACATAGCAGAATACGTGTATGAGCGTGATTGTCGGTGACCCCACAGTTTAAATGTCGACTGATGCAAATGAGGTCCCGAGATATGTGACCGGGCCGAATCTCTCAGACGGGGTTCGGTGATCAGAGTACATGCATACTGATTCAGGTTGGATCAACTCGGGCATATGGTTCTACCCGTCGGGATCAGGGGTATAGTGGCTGCGATGGCATATGGAACAGGCATGTCGCTGGCGATGAGTGGCGATGGCGGCGACCAGTGGCCCGGGGAGTGAAAGGGAGTATTCGGGGGGAGTCTCTGCTCTCTGCTGTTAAGAGATGGGTAAGCTGGTCGCGATGCGAAGCTGCAGATTGAATAAGCTTGGGAGCAATTCGTATTGACCATGTAAGATCAGATTGATCCTTCCTTCTCAATCTTGGACCGACGGTTGCCCATCACGAAGTCAATATAGGCAGGGCGGTTTCCCTTGAGCGCCTCAAGGGCATCTTGCAAAAGTCCATAGGTCAGACTCAGTTTCAATCCAAGCTTTGCAGTACGGGCGGCGGTGTAGACATCGTGACGAGCTGAAGAGTAGTATGTTAACCTTGTTTCCCACAATAACACAGTCGAATAATGAGTTACTCACCCAGCAAGCTGTAGATGCCTGAGAATGACAAGCCAGCGGTGACCGTCGACAAAAAGTCTCTCTCTTCATGTCGGGCATAATCCACCGTCTCCTCGAACAAACAGAATGTGAGTGCACCAGCACCAAGCTTCAGTCCCATCTTCGCGCCATCCTTGACACCTCCCACCACACTAATGTAGTTTTTCGATTTATGGTACTGGAACCACCCTGGCGAGGTTGTAGGGAAGCGATGCGCATTTTCCGCACGAAACACGAAGCCGGCCTTTTTGCTGCCGTGATAGTAACCTAGCATGGAACCGGACATAAAGGCAGACATGGTGGCATAGGGGATGCGCTTTCTGACGTCAATTCCTAACCGCGGAGGGCTGTCGCATTCAAAGAGCTTGTCCCAGTGAATGATTCTGAGGAGGACGGAGTTCGCCCGCGAGGACTCGACAGATGGAGTGCGGCTGGTCTCCATGTTGGATGAAGTGAGGAGGGAGCCTCAGGTAGTGATAAGAAAGCGTGGAGAGAAAGGGTGAGTGGTCTCTGCAAAGCTCGAAACCTCAAGTCGGAGCGGAACGCGGAGTCCCGCCGGATTCTCCGCCTTCGTCACCCTGCAAGATTGCGCAGACACACCACCAGCACTCTTTACAATTTCCACAATGGTATGAGCATCTACTATATTGCCAGATGAAGCTATTCACTCAAACTAAAATGGCTAATTACCGATCAGCCACCAAAATCCAAGCTCGACTCGAGCGCGGCGACCCTCTTCTTCAAGAAGCATAAAACCACCGTCCTTCTTATGCTTCAAACTCATGAATCGCTCGACACCGCAAAGGAAAAGCTGCTCGAAGCTTTGAACTCACGAGGAGTGACCGATATCAATGGCGACCCCATTCCCGACGATTCCTTCGATATCGAATTTGGTGTGCCCATGGACCGCGCCGATCTTGAGAAGGGCTGGCGACGGCTCGACGCAGATGCACCAGAACTAGACGAGGAGGGGACTACAAAGAAAAAGAAGGGCAAATCCAAGAAGGAGGCAGTCACTTTGATGGCCGCTGGTCTTGGGAACGGACATACCGTTGCCTTCCGCTTCCGCAAACCAAATGAGGGCCAAGACGAAATGGATCTTGATTATGAAGACCCGGGCTGGGATGTCCTTATCCCGACCTTTGATGATGAGGATGAAGAGTGAAGACTGCTATGGCACAGAGAAAGGCGTCGGGGACTACATGTAGTGTGGCTTATGGCGCTCCTGGGAGGCTTTAGTTATTTCTTGCATGGCGTTCAATTCGGTGATTATGGGATAGTTAATACGATCAAAATGATATCAAGAGGCCAGTCAGCTCGGGGATTCGTACGTAGCTTCAAGGGTCAATGTATGAAAGCTCGTTATGATGTGAGAAGTAATGTCTACAGCCAGAGGCCAAAAGTCGTTCACATCCCCCACCCTTATACAATCTATATGAATTACCCACCATTTTAGAGAACTATAATCCAAGGCACACGAAACACTCGAAAATGTCCAAAGAAGAGGATAAGGAAGAGGCTAAAGGCAATCCGATCGTGATGCAGGCCGCTCCCCCTCGACAACATTCACCAGATTGCACTACGAGGTTACCCTGAGGCTGAGGCTATCCAATAAAAGAAAGAGGCATGTCGTAAAGTCTGAACAATTAGCTGAAACGTGCGAGGCGCAGACCCCTCCATACTTCTAGATAATGCCAAACACTCGTGTCGTGACCTCAAGGTAGGCTAGTATATGGAATCAAAACCGGCAAATATGTATCATAAACCCAAAGAAAATTTGTATTGACTCTTGTCATGTGCATTATAAAGACTAGGCTAAACTCAATCACAACCTAGAACCTAGTCAATCCGAAAGAGGAGGGAAGGTCCGAATAAAGCTAGAAAACATAAAGTCAGCAATCCCATACACAGAGCATAAGGGAAATTCAAGCACGTACTGCGCAGGGCACTCATATCCAGCAGGGTTATTCTGGAGATAGAGCTGGTGATATTCCTCGGCATCCCACCACTGACCCGCGGGCAGGATCTTAGTGGAAAGAGGCGCCTTATACCACTCCTTGCTGACCTTTTCGGAGATATCTTCAGCAATCTTCTGCTGCTCCTCTCCATGTGTGAAAATAGCACTGCGGTACTGGGTACCGACGTCCGGACCTTGCCGATTCTCTGTCGTGGGGTCGTGCATGCGATAGAAGAATTCGAGGAGTTGGCGGTAGGTTACGATCGAAGGATCAAAAGTCATTTGGAGGGCTTCGGCGTCTGCAGGGGGAAAGGGGAAAAGATACAGTCAGCTCCTCTGACCGCGATTCTATCCGGTCTCCGGCGGATTGTTCCTGAGGTGCGAGTATTTATTACTACTTACGGCCAGTGTTGCCAGAGCATACAGCTCGGTATGAAGGTGACGAAGTTGCGCCGCCGCAGTAGCCTACCTTGGCGTCAAGGAGGCCTTTGCCGTTGCCGAAATTCTTGCGGTAGAGGTGCTCGACGCCCCAGAAGCAGCCGGCTGCTACGGTCGCGGTCTGTGTGCCTGACATTGTGCGCGATTGGGATTCCGGAGCTAGGGAACTTGTCCGACTAGTAGAGAAAGGACGGAAGAAGCGTGAGAAGAAAGTTGAGGCAAGCGGTGCGGCAAAAGACATCTGCAGAAATTCTGGTGGGGACGTACTCGATAAGAAGTGGGGATGTCGTCGGCAATGGATGGGGTATTCCCTCAAGTTATGACAGATTGCGGGTTAAAGGGAGAATATGAGTACAGTTGGAGGAGTCAGTAGAGAAGGAGAGAGAAGTGAAAAAGAAGCTATGAAGCTATAAAGCTCCAACGCCCAGTGGCGTCATCTCGGAATCTGACAAAGCAGCGCGGGGAATTCGGCATTTGGATGCAATTAGGGCTGAATGTGGCAAAAGACATATTTAGTATACACCAAAAACAAAAAAAAAAAAAAGGAAAGAAGTATGTGAAAAAGACCTTGGTGCTATACATTCCTAGCAAAGTAATCAAAGACACGACAATGGAAATTATTATGATCCCGAGTGTACAAGAGAAAAAGAGGTGGTATCTGCTACGCCAACAAAACGCCTATCCCAGGGTCCAAAAACACCACTTGGCCAAAAGCCACGCCAGGCTGTGCTTGAAATATAAGTGACAATCATTTTCCGCAGTCCGGAGGAGGCGTCCGACTAGCGGTCAACAGGGGCGCTGCCATTGCGCTAAGACGAATGGCATCCCGGCTGGAGATGCTGAGATTCCGAGGTCGAATATCCCCCAACGTAGTGCGGCGTCCGGTATTCTTCATCACGGGAAGAGTGTGAGGGCTCAACACACGAGGCTTTGCGTGGAGTTCTCTCTCGCTCTTGACCATGCGCCGCGCTTGTGACGCGGTGAACATGTTGCTTTCACCCGGGGTAGCCCCATAGGTATCCGAAGTTGGGCTGCGGCGTCGGTGAACTCGTAGGGAGTTGGCAGATGAGGCACCGGTATGACTGCTTGAGATGCGTCGCATGGCCGAGTTGATCTTGATTGCATCTTCCTTATCCGACTTCCAGTCGTCCCTATTTTCAGAAACTGGGCTGCTTGAGAAGTTTCCGCTGGGACTGCGGACTGCAATGCGGGATGGGCGCTCCATCGGGCTCCGGTTCATGAAACTGCTTCCCTCGATGTCACGGAGTGGAGAGTTCTCCCTGTCTGTGAGAGGGAGAGTGGATGAAGGCGGGGGCGCCAATGGTGAGCTACCAGCCCTCTTGGACAGGAATCCTGCTTTGAAGCGGTTGTTGTTCTTTTGGACGTTCAATGTCGGCTCAGCGGGTTCAGCAGGCTCGTCGGAGACGGGGGAGACAGAGATCGCTGGGCTAGCAACTCTCGGAATATCGCGCGGAATAGGAGATCCTGACCGAGGAGGCAAGGATGGCTCCCCCAAGCTAGGTCCATCGACAAAGTCAGACTCAACCTTCTTAGGGCTCTTTTGGAACTCAGTCAGAGCACCATCTTGCTCGTCGTCCTTCCAGCGGACAGATCGTTTCGTGGGCTTTGATTGAGTCTTCTTCGGCGTGAAGCTGACGCTCTTCCGGCCAGGTGCAACCTTGCGACGACGGGGAGAGGCTTTGGTTGGTGACGTTGGAGCGACAGGGGCAAATGTGGCTGGAGGGTTGGCGTTCGATACAGGCGGCAGGCTGACCAAACTGAATCTCTTTTTTGGCTTTGTGGGGCTTGCTGGCCTGGCGGAGCTGACGTTAGGGATACCGGGCATGTTTCCATCTGGTTTGACAAGGTTTGTTGCGGTGTTGGCGCAATCCTCCATCATCTTCATAAGGATCGTCCGTCCCTTTTTGATGGCTTCGCTTGCATTTAGCTGCATGATCTCCTCGATCGAGCTCATAATCTCAAACTGTGCTTGCAAAAGGAGCTGTACAGCAGAGGCCTCCCCGGCTTTGTCTTGTTCCACCACGGCTGACAATGCCTCACGCTCTGCATTAGACCTCAGTAGCTCTGCTTCTCGGTTCAGGTTTGCAAAGTCACTGTTGTCGGTAGTATCAAACTCCTGGAGTTGCTTGGCGGCATTTTCAACGGCTGAGTTTACTGCACGATCCCAGTTGCTTTTCGATAATCGCTGGTTGTAATGGTGTCTGCTGCCTTCCAGCTCAAGGAGGATACCCTGCGCAGACTTGCGAACGGCATACAAGTTGGACAATCCCTCCTCATCCTCGCGAGTTGCACATACATTGTCAAAGGCTGCGATCCAAGATGATAGGATGCCGATTCTGCGGCTGATTTGTCGTAATTTTAGCATGTTATTGGTCTTTTCCTGCCGCTCGGGCAAGGTATGCTCATAAGCATTACGGATTCGGGCGACGCCCTCACGCAAAACAGCATCTTTCTTTTCGTTCTGCTTGCGGAACTTCGCAAAAGCGACCTTCTCGTGGTCTTTTGCCTGCGCTTTAAGCTCGTTAATCATGTTCATTTGCTCGTCAATCTTGACCAAGAAGTCCTTGACGTGCCGATTGACGTTAAAGACGTTCCGAGTGACCTTGGTCTGGATGTTCTTTGCTCGGTTGGCATATCGAAGAGTATTCTGCGTCTCATCGAAGTGTTGACTCGAAGGGCTGACGCAGACAATCATAACAGTCTTACAGTTTCCACCAAGAGCAAACTTAAGGAGACGAGTGAGCTTCGAGTTTCGGTAGGGAATGTGGTTGCGCTTCCGAGGATCGCACAGGGCATTGATGCAGCTGCCCAGGGCCAACAGAGACTTGTTGATGTTGGCACCCTCAAACAACCGCTCGCCTCTGTTCTTTGTGGCGCTAGCACGCTCGCTTCCAGCCAAATCAATGATGCTGAGAGTGGCCATCGTGTGGGGTTCATTGACATCGGCATTCCGATCTTTCTGGGCGATGTTGATCTGGAGAACGGCGTGTGATCGGGATGAGGTGGCATTCGCTTCGGTGGGCGACATAGTACGGCACTCGTTGCCTCGCATGATCATATCCATGACTTGCTCCACACTTTGCGGGTGGTGGCTTGACAGGCCAGCGACGGAGACTGACTGCTGGGAGTCTTCACGTAGCATCAACCCTCCCTTGCCACTGCTTCCAGTGGGGACGAGCAAGTCGCGAATTGTTTCGTTGTAGATTTCGAGGTAGGAAAGGGAAATTTCAGTCGACTTTTCGCTCGAACGCTCGTTAATTCGCTCAAACAGCTCTTGCATGGTGAGGAAGATGATACCGGGCTGCTGGGCAGTTCCAGTGATTGTATGGGTCTTTCCACACCCCGTTGCACCGTATGCAAACACCGTCGCATTGTATCCGTCGAGTACGTTGTCGAGAAGGCTGCGTGTGGTCGACTCGTACACCTCCCCCTGAGAAGCGTTCTGGTCGAAGATGCGATCGAAAGCGAATGTCTGGTCCTTGACACGCTTGCCATTGGGCACCACACTCCTGGAGAACTTCTGGACAGGATTGTCCTCTGGAGGGTCAAATACCCTAGTCCAGTCAACTTACTAAACCCAATACCAGATGAGGATCAATACTCACAAGCATCGGTCGTCGATGACCTTCACGATGGAGCGGATTCCCTTCTGGTTAAGCTTTGGTGCTGGTGCACCCGCCAGGGACCCGTCACCGAGGAACAGAGGCCCGTCATCAGATCTAGTGATTTGTGCTGCCTCCCTAATCGTAAAGGGACGGACTCGGACTGCAACATTGATGGAGGAAGCGCCGTCGGAGGCAGCCATGGTGAAGGTCGTATTTAACCCCCAAGTCGCGAAGTTGAGGGCCGCGTCAGAGCAGTTGACACCCTACAAAAAGGCCGGGGGAAGCTGCGATAAGGAATATCGAGAAGAATGTGTGGATCTAAAGGGAGATCCCTAAAGATGTATGGGGTATAGGATGCAGTATTCTCCGAGAGTCTCCTTGCAACGATTTCATTTGTTGATGTGCGTGTTGTCTTTGCGTTGCTCGAGCAACTGTTTCGGGGGGACGTGTTTGGCTGAGATGGCGTGGCAGTACCAGCATCACTGCACTTGGCTTTCCTCGGCCTAAGTAACTAGCGTGTTTCATGTACTCTCCACGCTCACCTCATATTTATATACACGCACTGGATAACTACTTTATCTTCGAGTACATAAGACGTCGATCAAGTTGTGGGGTTATTTATTAGCCGTCATCGCAGCTCTAGAGCCCCTTGCAGGAAGTGGTAATTTCTGTGCATAAATATGTATACAGTGCCACTGATAAAGTATTAGATGATTTTCTACTCGAAAGCCTTAAGAGTACGCTATTTCATGTATGATTTTCGTTATTTTTATGCCTCTCTTCGATGCCTCTTACGCATCCTAAGTGTCTATCTTTCAAGCTCCCGTTTCTTTCGCCTCCACCTCCTTCCGCAGGGAATCCTCGTCCCATTTATTAAGAAGAATCCACATCTCGCCGCGCATCCTGAACGAACACTTATGACAAAGTCCGTCTTTCTTCTCAAGTCGAGTTTCCTGTAGTTCAACCCCGGTGACGTTGAGTAAACCTGTTGCTAGTCCTGAACAGGCAGTTCGCCTGAAAATTGGTTGTCCGTATTCGATGCACTGTTCGACTCGCCCCGGAAGAACGCAGTTGCAGGCCATATATTTGGTAAAGAACAGTAAACACATTTTGTATATCGTCTCTGATGTAGGAGCCAAGACTAGAAGCTAGGCGGTTGTTAAGTAAGGTTCTTATATATGTTGGCGTAGAATAAACAGCTTGATTACTCAAATGATATCTAATGACATGGCTAGAGATAGACGCTCAAAATGTTCACAAAACAAAGGAAAGGAATCGGATAATGTAAAATCTAAGACAGTTTTTAAGCCAGTCAACAGTAAGATACAAAGAGAGGCCAGTAGATCAGTTTCGAAAGAATAAAAAGCTGTAAAATACAACAATCGCCCTGTCCTTGATCCCCTAGACCCTGACTGAAAACCAAAACAAGTCGTAACAAAAAGGAGTGGAAATGCAAAACAATGACTTGATGACTGGCCGATCCTTTGTGGCGGCGAAGCCAGAAATGCAAACAAAGAGAGATCATCTTGCAACAAAGGCGTTGTCATTTAGATAGGTGTCCCGGTAGACATCAATAACAATAGAATTACCAGATGACCAGAAACCTGAGCACACATCCCCGGAACAAACCTACGAGTTGAAAGAAAGACCTTCACACGTTTCCAAACAGACATCCAAGTCAAATTTGGACTCTTCCGCATAAAAAGACAAGATCGGACGCCGGTTAACTGTTACCTTCCATCTACCAAAAGCAAACATCGAGGAAATGGATACTTTCAACGAACTTCCCATCACTGAGAACTCTACCAGCGAGGCTTCCTTTAGCGAGGCTTCTCCTAGCGATGCTACTGTCGAAGATATCTCTATCCATGATGTCCCTACCAATGTTCCTACCATCAACGTCTTTACCAGCAATAGCCCTACTAGTGATGTTCCTAGCAGCGATACTCCAATGAATGAGTCCTTTGCCAACGAAACCGCCATTACCCCAAGCGAGAACATAACTCCAAAAAGAAGAAGACTCGCCGCGGCCGCAACGACCCCGAGCCAGACTGGTCCGCCCAAATGCGTGACAAGGTGAAGAAGTCCAACAGCCGTATTGGCCAAGCCTGTGATAGGTGCAAGGTATATCCACCAACCTTCCTGATTACCGAAAATAGCATACTAATCTATATAATAAACATCTAGGCGAAGAAGATGCGATGCACACCCGACCACACCGGCTGTGCCTCTTGCATCTCCCAGAACCTCTCCTGCAAAGTCACTGACCGCGTGACCGGAGAAACATACGTGCGTGGTGAAGCTGGGCGGATGCGCCTCGTTATCGAAAGACTCAATGACCAGGCGGATAACCTGAAGCGGGAAGTTATGAGGCTGCAGCAGGAGAATGAGTTGCTGCGGGATTCCCATGTGGAACTCAAGAGTCGGATTAACATGTACAAGTCGTCTCTCGATACCTACGAGGTATGTCGTTGTTTTGTTTGTTTATATCCCCGGTGGACTATCGCAGCCTTCTTTTTCAGTTTCTTCTTTTCTGAATCCTCTATTTTCCTTCACTTTCTTCTTCTTGCATGTTTTTTCTAATACTGACTGGATTGCTAGGCCGGGTTTGTTCTTAACAACCCAGAGGCTGATCTGATGCATCTTCTGTGATCGTGCTACGTGTTTGTGACATTTTTGATTTTTAGTGTTTAGCTTGTCATATCCATCGTGTGCCTGTTTTCATTTGGTCTTCATATCCCATGCAATGTGTGTGTTTAAGAATGGGATGTTTTGTTGTGATACATAGATGCTTTCCTGGAAATGATACTTTGTTGGCAAAGAATAGATGAAAAAAGAAGCAAAATAGTTGCGTAAATGCTATACAAACCCAATGTGTTGTTCCCTGGGTATCCAAATAAAAGTACAAGAACTCCGAATCATGCAAATTAGCCACCACCACTCTACCAGCTTGCATTCTTTTTCCAGCAGCAACATACCCCCTTACTCTCACACCACTCCCTGACAGATGCAGTCCCAACCTCTCGGTCTTCACCGACAAGCCCAAGCCCTTCAACATTAAGCCACGCTGTGAAATCCTCCAAGATGATAGGATCATACATGAGGATCTTCTCATGCCATGTTGACCGATTGCGGCTGCCCAGAGCTGATGACAATGGTGAGAGCCGAGGCTGAGCTCGAACAGCTTTGGTAATCTGGGCAGATATGTCTGCCAGGCTGACTCGTGCAGAGGGTTCAGTTGTGCGGGTCTTTGTGACTGAAACCTTGGAAGTAAGTTTGCGTTTTGTTGGGCTTGCAGGTGGGGTTTTAGTGATGATGTCAAGGGTGTGCTCGCGAGTTTGACTGCCCATTCTGGACTTTGAATAGATGTTGACGTAGTGACTTTGTACTTGACTCGGAGATGGTGTGACTTCCTCTTCTGAGTCTTGGATTTCTTCCACGTCAATGAATGATGCAGAGGATCCAGTGGTAGGTTTGGTCTTTGAGCCTTTCTGCGGACTTTTCTGGGAATTGTTGCGTGAAGCAGGAGCTGGTTTTGCGGTCTCCAGTGAAGTTTCTTTGATAATAGAAGTTACCGATTTGGGCTTTGTCTTTGCCTTGGATTTCGAATCGAAGGCAGGCTTCGGGTCGTTGCTCTGTACAGTGGCCGATGTTTTCGGTTGTTCTGTCTGGGTAGCTGGCTGACTACCAGTGGCAGCGCCGCCATGCTTGGACTCCCAGCATTGCTGAAGGAGATCGATCATCTTCTTGCGTCCCCTGACCGACTTGAAACCAAATCTAGCAATTTGTTTAGACAACTCCGCATCCGTAAACCCAGCATATTGCGGCATTTGAGGTGCCTGTGGATCAGTTTGTTGCGAGATGGCCGGTTCCAATGGAGCAGCCTTAGTTCTCTTGACAGGCGTTGCAATTGCTGAAACCTGAGACTGGACGTTTGAGCTCGAGCTGTTTTTCGGTGGTTTCTTTTCAGGTGGTGAATCAATGTCCGCATAGTCAAGCTCAAACCAATTCTTGTCAAGGGGTTTCAGTGCTGGTTTGGCCATTTGGTCATGACTCTTTGTGGAAAGTTCAGGGCGATCAGTCAGGTCAACCACATTCAACTTCTCAGACTGAACCAAAGAGCCCTCTATGTCTCTGGATGCAACATTCCACAGGTTTTTAGTGCCTGTTATCCTTGAGACAGACCGGATAGGAGGTTCTCGTGCTGCTCTGCTCTTCTGAGCATGGACAGAATCGCATTTTCCGTCTCGGTATGAAAGACTCTCAGAAGCACAGGTAGCTTGTTGCATTTCCCGCAAGGTCTGCGGTGAATCCTCTCTTTCCAACTGACTGCAGGTGCCGAATACAAGGTCTTGGTCGTTCATAAACTCGACAGCAGCTTCCGGAGAAAGAATGGTGAAAGGAGAATCGTTATCCATTTCTTTGGCTTTCCCTCGCCTGTTTTTTGCGGCCCTATTGCCTGGAACGCAATCCATGACCGGTCCTTCCCCTTCTTGTTCGTTATTTTGTGCATACTGCGCAGTCATTCGAGCCGTCAGCGTTGTAAATTTCTTAGGTTTGGCCTTGGTTGCCTTCTTTGACTTCCCTGAAGCCGATTCGTCTGTAGATGTGTAATCACTCAAGCTATAGGGCTTGTCATTGACTAGCTGTTGGATTTGGGGATGCTCCAGCTCTATCCGTCGTCGTTTTGTTGGTCCGCTGTTTGCATTCTGGGGAAGCTCGCGGGGATTTGGAGCTGATCCAGAGAAACTATAATCGGATAGCAGCTTGCCAAACCCACCCATGGCGTTTGGCTCACAGCGTTTCTCCTGCTCTCCGGAATCATCGACTAAAGTGAGATTTTCGCAGGCAGTCTCCCTCGGTGGGGTCCAATCCAATCTTCTTCTCGTTGCCTCGTCTAGGTGCAATTGCTCATCTTTACCCAAAGCATTCGTGGGTACTGGAGTCTCCCCTGAATCAGTTGAAGGCAATTGTTTTGTAGCAGTCGTCTTCTTGCCAGCCTTAGTCGATTCCTTTGCCTCCTCTCCGGTGCTCGTCTTTGTAACCTTCCCAGCCAGTTTCATATTGCCTTGGTCCTGGTTCTTGGCAGTTTTCCGGGGTCTGCCCTTGCCAGGTTTTGCCGCATTATCCATTCGGCCCACGGGGTCAGGCTGTGGACTGCTGGGCGCAACTGGTGCTAGCTTATTTGCTAGTTTCTTCGTCTTTCCTCCAGGCTTGCCCGATGCGCTTTGATCATCGGAAGCTTTCTTGGTCGATCGCTTCTTTGTTTTCGGCGCGGATGCCAGGTACTGGTCGCTGGCAATTGAGGTGGGAAAGAATCGAGAACGCGTGTGCGGTTGGAACAACTCAGACGGCGAAGGTACTGGCGGTGGCGTTGCATCTGGTGGCAAGGCGTGACACGCCGGGTTGCGATCATGCCTAGCTAATTTTGGTGATCGCGGAGGGTTCGGAGAGGACGACAAGATGATCACATCTGCTGCGGTAGTCATTGTGGCGAGTCGCGTATCTCAATGTTTGCTTGTGTGATATTGATAAGTCGCGCGTCCAGCTAGTCTCATGTCAGACGCATTTTATATGCAATATGCATGCCCAATAAGGCAGGAAGTAAGATATGTATGCAAGGTGGATATGCTCGTGGAGGTATTGTTTGGAGATTGAAGTTGAATTCGATGTGACAAGACCGCGGTCTTGGCAAAGTTGCAGGATTACCGTTTTAGGTTCACTTCATAGTTAAGCCGGGCAACCAACGGCATTCGAGAGACTAACAGTGTACACTTATATTTCAAAAGCATTGCCAATCAAGATGAGAGCTGGTATATCCATTCAAACCTAATTTTCTTACGGCTTTACATGATTTTACGAATTGGACGGAATCGCCGAAATATAGTCCATGTTCGGGGAAACAAACACATGCATTGAGGGTATGATTCATTCAATTCATCGTTACTTACGTGTAATTATCTCGATAGAGATATTTATGATCCCAACACAGTTAAATGACTGTGGTGTCATCCTGAAATAAACCAAGATTATTCCTTGCGATCAATGACGGATGTTTTGTCAGTCGAATTTCAAACTCTCGAGGTATAAATGGCCCAAGAGCGTAGCAGTTTCACACTTTCAGCATTCGAAAATGCATTAGCAAAGGTGCTCTTGCACTGATTGCGAGTTCGAGGCATTTTGGGTTCGGTGAAGTGCTGTGACTCCGACCAATATCTCATGATCCCCTCAGGGCAATTGCTGCCAGTAAGGCATTTTCAAGCCGTTGCTTCAATTCATCATTTGTGCCATTGGATTGATCTGTTGCCTTGGGTGGTGAAGGCAAAGCTCCCAACTTGTACACTTTCTTGATTTTGCTGACATCGGAGACTTCAGAAAGTGTCTGATCATCGAAAGGTACCGAAGTCCCTTGAACTGAGGCGCCAAGATGGGCGACGACAGACTCATGTGTTATCTCTGGCGAGACAGAGACTTTGACCACCAAGAGATCTTTGGTTGAATCGGCAATGCCGAATCTGCGGAATGACTCGGCAATCTAACTCCGTGTTAGCTCCGTGACAAATTGCACCGCCTCTCTATACACACATTATTGGTAGAGTTGAATGAGAATACAATCTCGGAATGCACGTTGCGAGACTTCAGTCGACTGTGCATATAGTCGTTGACGGCTCTGAACACAGCAGCAGTGGCATGGGCCCTTGAAAGAACCTAATGTGGGGTGTCAATTTCAGGACTTGAAATATACATTTTGGAGCCAACTGTCTAATTTCAAGAAGACACATCCTCACATACCATGCTTGCATCAATAAGAGCATATTCGAATTCTGCATTGCCAGCAAGAAGCTGTTCTCTCAAGAAGGCGGCATTTTGAACATCGCGATATAGAGCAACATGCACCGGCAGAGACGGTAAATGCGGCACATGGATAGTCTCCAAGTTCGAAGCCATGACTGAGAAGTCAGAATAGAATGACGTAGAGCAAGCCGATCTGATAAACCGAGGCGAGTTCAAGTTCTAAGAATATCAAATCCCACCTGTGAGTCACCTGACTATTCTGGAAATTTCCGGATTCCGGACTTAAGCATGAGTAATCACGAATCACGCTGATATCACCCGTCAAGTCGGTACTTTAATCTCCCCTCTTCACATCTCGATTATCACATCGCGATCATGGCTTTCTTCTTACGGCGCCCGTTCGCCGTATCATCGGCTCTTCGCCAGCTCCCCAAAGCCTCGAACACCGCTCGATTCATCCACAACTCCCCTCTCAAGCCCCAAGCACCTAAGCTTCAGGGAGCTTCGTCCTCGATCTTCGCCAAGTCCCGCTCGTCCTTCCAGAATGCATTCCGCCGTACCTACATGCAGCAGAGCTACAACACTGCTCAGGGTGGCAACATGACGCAAAAGCTGATTTATGGCGCCGCCATTGTCGGTGGTACCATCTTGGCAACCAACGTCATCTTTAACCGTGAGACGAGAGAGGACGGCGGCATGCCCGCTTACGAGCGTAGCTTCTTGAACGAAACCTTCATGCACACTGGTCTCGGTGTTGGTATCATCGGTGTTGCTGCTCGCGCTCTTCACATGAGCGGCTGGTCTTATCGTCTCATGGCTATGAACCCTTGGCTCGTTATGGGTGTCGGTCTCGTCGGCAGCATCGGCTCAATGTACGGAACTTTCTACACCTCCCCTGATAAGTAAGTTTTGAAACCTTTTCTTTCAGTCCCGCGAGTGAACCAGTAAGTGACATACAAACTAACACTTGAGATAGCTACGTCGTGAAGTATGGCTGCTGGACCCTGTTCAACCTCACCCAGGCTGCTCTTCTCTCCCCGTTGATGTTCATGCACCCCGCCATCCTCGCCCGTGCCGGTCTTTACACTGTTGGTATGATGGGCTCCATCGCCTTCGTCGGTGCCACCGCCAAGCAGGAGAAGTACCTTTACCTCGGTGGTCCTCTTCTTGCTGGTGTTGCCATCGTTGCTCTCTCCGGACTCGCCCCCATGGTTCTCCCAGCCACTGCTGCTCGCACTTTGATGTGGTCTGAGCGTCTCTGGCTCTACGGTGGTCTTGCCGTCTTCGGTGGCTTCACCCTGTATGACGTCCAAAAGATTCTGCACCACGCCCGCCTTGCTGAGCGCGGCCTGATCAAGCGCGATGTTGTCAACGAGAGTGTCAGCCTTGAGCTGGACTTCATTAACATTTTCGTTCGTATGGTCCAGATCCTCGGCATGCGCAACAACAACCGTCGTTAAGCGGCCTGCATTTCATGGCAATGGAGCAGACTGTTATTGGCCTTGCTTAACACGGATCTGGAGTTCTCTTTTTGCTTAACTAACAACCTTGTATTTTAACCGTTCATATTTCTTTTTCTTTCTTTTTTTCTGGTCTTATGGGTCGAAGCCTCTGCGCAAAGGCACGCCTTTCAGTGTTCGCACCGACGAACCTACAACAAACGGGGTGAATACAATCTCCGCTCTAGTTAGAAAATCTCCCTTAGAACTCATCTACTTTGCTGGTGCTTCTTCAGAAATGCAAATTGATTTGGATCAAAGCCTTCGTCTTAGTAGCTCTCGGTAACCGATCAAGTTGCGCAATATGCTTGAACTTGCAATTTGTGTCGCAAGAGAAGTAGAGAGTAATTGAGTGCCTAGGATGAATAAGGCAAAATAGCAAGCTTAGGAAATAATAGTATGCACATACTGGAACTTAGCAGGGTAGTCCTGGTCATGTGATCGCGAGCTTGAAGGTGAGGCTTGCCTAACCAAGACTGCAATCCAGACCCGGACTCATTGAACACTACCAACGGCGAAGTTAACCTCCCCAATACCTCACAACTACAGTCGCGTCGAAGGTATACTCAGCACCACACAATATGTCGAACGAAATGGAAGTCGACCCTCCTGTCGCACAAAACGACGCACCCGAGCAATCTGGCAGCTTTGAGCCACGGACACAGGAAAATGCGGTCGCTGTGCGCAGTATTGAAGGATGGATCATCATTGTGTCCAATATCCATGAGGAAGCATCAGAAGAGGACGTCACCGATCTATTCGCGGAGTACGGAGAGATTAAAAACTTCAGCTTGAACCTCGACCGTCGGACGGGTTATGCCAAGGTGCGCTCCTACTTGACCCAATGGGACAATCAGCTTGAGACAGACTCTCAGGGCCCTGTTTTCTGAGCGTTGATTTCTTGTGACGATCCATCTTGAATCTTGAACTAACTAACTGTCTACAAGGGCTACGCATTGATTGAATACTCCACCCTCCCCGAAGCCAGCGACGCTATTCAGAACCTGAACGACACCAAGCTCCTCGACCAGACCATCCACGTTGACTACGCGTTTGTTCGTCCGCCCCCATCTGGCAAGGGCAAGAATGGAGCATCCAAGGGCCGGGGTGGCCGGAATCGCAGCCGGAGCCCCAACCGCAGTCGCAGCCCTGAAGCCGCCGGTGACCGGGAATAAGCTCTTTAATGGATATGAAGGATGAAATTTGACGGAGGTGCATTGCTTGTGACCTTTCATTTGATACCTGGGGCTTTCGCGTTTATTCTCGCCTTTTCTTTTTCCACTGCTGCGCTGTTACCTCGAACCTCTTCCCACCAGTTCACCTGAATATCTCCCTTGATGAATGGATCATCTGGTCTTCGCAGGTGTTACCCCTCTTTGGACCTCTCCGGTTCACACTGATTGAGAGGTGCCATGGGACACATCCGCATAGAGGTATACGCCGGCGCCGTGATAGATTGCCATAATGGTATGAGATCCCAGTCTTGACCCGTCACGAACCACGCTGACCTCGATTCAGAAATCAAAGGCAATTTCGATAAAATTGAAAGTTGAACTATCAAATTAGCGAAGACCATCTTGGCTCCTTAGCCCAACCTTTCAGTAATGTACGTTATGCAGGACGCCTTTCTTTCATTGCAAGTGACGTTCCATCACCCTTGTTGATCTTGCGACTCATTCTGTAACCGAACAGAATGCGATTCGCTGGTTCTCCATTTGTAGTGTAGCCCTTAAGTCGCTTGACTTCGTATCCGATGCCTTGCAGGTGGATCACGCGACAGTCATGTGGCGCCATACTCCAGCCAATGTAATAATGCAAATTAGCTTTAGACTCACCAAATAATCGGAAGCCCTGGCCTTACCAACAGGACGAAGTTCATGGATAGATGTTGCGGCAGGAAGCGGGTCTGGTGACTAAGGCCGAACCCTGGCCCGTTTTCCCCGCATGAGCCTATCCTGCGCTCTTCCTCTTTTTCCACGCCATTGCGAACTCTCTCCTTATATATCTATAGCACGGCTCTATTACCTGGTGTCTGGGGATCTGGTTCTGGCAGGATCACTTTCCTGAGACAGAATGGCTCCCCAACACACTTCCTCTTGCCCTTTGAGGCTACCACGGTCTCTATATTGTATCATTACACTGTGCTTCCTGTCATTTTCGGCTGGGGTCAAAGCGCTGGCGTATCCGCCGCAAGATGTTTTGAGAGAATCATTATCGACCTTCAATGATGGTTCCAGTGCCCTTGACGACTCTTTTGTGGAGACAGTCTTGGGAGATACTGAACCGGCCCCGGAAGAGTCAAGCCACGAACCAATTCTCGAAACATTACGGGATCTCATCGATGCACTGCGTGTTATGCAAGACAAGTACTTTGTGTTATGGCAGGGCACGTGGCCTACTAGCATCGATTGGACTGCCGCGGTCCTGGGAACACACGTTTCAGCGGCGCTGTCATCTCTAAGCTCTGGACCGCTTGATATCCCTGAGACGGATGAGCTGCAAGGATTGTCACACTCCACGCTTGAGAATACCGTCAGTCGATACTTCAGCCATACGTCCGCTTTCTACTTCGGCGAGAATGCCTTCAGTCTGAGGAACCAGGCTTACGATGACATGCTCTGGGTTGTACTGGAATGGTTGGAAAATATTAAGTTCCAAGACCTCCATTCAGATTTACACTATACCTCGTCTAACGCCAGTTCTGGACAGCCATGGTATGGCACCCAGTTCCGTGACTCTGCAGCACACAGAGCACGACTATTCTACGAGCTTGCCTCAGCGGGCTGGGACAAGACGCTTTGTGACGGCGGCATGATCTGGAGCCCATACCTGATGCCATACAAGAACGCAATCACGAACGAGCTGTTCATCTCCGCAAGCATCGGGATGTACCTATACTTCCCAGGAGACCCCATCGACTCGCCGTTCCTCGCCGACTCACAAGGCACCCACACAACACGGAAGAACCCACACAGCCCTGCCCATCTCAAGGCCGCAATCGACGGATACAAGTGGCTCAATAACTCGAACATGACCGGCCCCGGCCGGCTCTACGCTGATGGCTTTCATATCAGTGGTTACCAAAGCTCACAGAATCCCGGCTCGGGCAAGTGCGATGAACTCAACACTATGGTCTACACCTACAACCAAGGAGTCATTCTCAGCGGGCTGAGGGGACTCTGGCTAGCCACGAACTCGCAAGAGTATCTGATTGATGGACACGAGCTAGTCCACAAGGTGCTGCAAGCCACCGGCTGGCCATACATCTCCAGCCAGCAGTGGAAGGGACTCGGCCGCGGAGGCGTACTAGAAGACGCATGCGATTCCGGCGGTTCCTGTTCCCAGGACGGGCAAACCTTCAAAGGAATCTTCTTCCATCATCTGGCAGAGTTCTGTCGGCCTTTGCAGCCACAAGAAGAACGATTTCTGGCAGACGCCATGACTGGTAGTCACTCAGCAGAGGACAGCTGGGACGAGATCTATCAATGGCATTTGGAACGCTGTCGCGCCTATGGCAGCTGGATCGAGCACAATGCGCAGGCCGCTTTGATGACTCGGGACAGCGATGGCAAGTTCGGTTCTTGGTGGGGTCGCCCGTATCGTCAGCTCGAGGCGGATGATATTGTGGGTAGCAGTATCATCCCCGTTGATGCTATTGACTACCGCAACTTTGGTGACTCTGAGCCCTCAGCTGCGGGCTTCAGGCCGAAGGATTACAATGATCGTGGCCGTGGCCGTACGGTTGAAACACAGTCTGGCGGTATCGCAGTGTTAAGAGCCTTGTACCAATGGCAATCATGCGGAGCTCTATGAATAAAATTGAATGGTTGGCGTTTTGGTGGTAGATAGGTTCTTACTCTCATTGGAAGGGGCTTCTCTTGGGAGGTTCTTTCTGTACAGTCTGCAGATTCTCCGGGTTTCGGGTTTGAAATCGTTATCATATCCTTTCAAGTTTGACATTGTCTTGTTAGAACTCTACCCGTAATTAAAAAGGTAAACAAAAGTGTATCACTCTGTTACTCTAACCCGGAGATGTCTCGGAGCCAGGTATACGTTTTGCAACTAGAAGCATGCATGTCTGTGTTATCAATCAGAAAGCCGAGAGAAACGGCAACGCATGAACGTACCTCTCAGCCTTGTAAGCAAACCCGGCTTTGACTTAAACTACATGCGCCTACATATACAGTACATACACGCACACCGCATCTGCATTGGATCTCCTCCTCCCCGGATGATTGGTAGACAGAAATGGATCCCCATCTCGAGACAGATAGACAAGACCCCCCACAAAACCGGGAAATGGAAGGCGAAAACAGGAATTTCTTGGATCTGCAAAAGTGGGACACTATAAGTGAAGATATAGTATATTTGTGTGAGACTGTGGGTTAGACGGGAGATATTCCAAGACATTTGAGGCTGAGCTAAGATAAACTCTTGCCTCTCTCTGGAGAGAGTCCCAGTGAAGGTCCACTGTGTGCACAGCGTCAACGACTCTTTCCCTATTCGGAAAGTTCTTTATGCTGTGCTCGCTTCTGTTCTGAGTCAATTCGTCCTCTGTACTGTATTCGATGGCTTGTAAACTACATGTATTATCCTGTGTACCTGAGTGGAGCCCAGAGACGGCGATGAAACTCTTTTATGTACTTTATTCATCCTGTCGCCCCGGGGGCCGTTGAAAACTTCAAAGTGTAGCCGTGTACGGTGCCTCGGACCCGTACTTCGAAACAAAGTCTTGTTCGGGGTATTGTTCGAAAATGGAATAGTGATTGGCACTGTTTCAAATTGCACAGCAGAGGACACAGAATTCTCGGTGCTACGATTGGCGCCAACAACATAGAAAAGACGGGAAGGCGACCAGTTATAGGGGTTAAAATTGATGGAAACACCCCACTCCCGTATTGAAAATATGTACTAGTAAGTCACTGACGTTTACATGTCGAGGGGATGCTTTGTGTCTCATAGACAAAGCAATAGCTACACGTAGGCATTCGTGGATGTCTCACTTAGCCCCCGTTGTCTCTAGGAATACATGTATTGAACATGGGCCTAACATCTAGTGTAGCGGCCCAAATTCGGTGAACATACTCTGTATAGTTACACACTCTGGCCTGAGCGTCTTGTCATCTGACTCTCGGAATCCAGGAACGAATCTGGTTTGATATTATCTGTGGAGATCCATCTCCGATATCTAACTTCCTAATACCTTGACCCTCCGATTTTCTATATGCCGTCATGCCTCGTGTAGCGGAACACTGCTGCATATCCCCGTAGTGGCATCGGCAGTTCTGATTGATCCTGCCGGGAACGGAGCGAAGTTATAAGTTAGGGTGGACTGAAACCATATACCACCTGTTAAACTCCGTACATCGTCCTCATGAAACTAGGAGAGAACAGATCAATCTCAAGGTTTTTAAGATCGGCGCCTATCTCCATTTCCACCTCGGCTAGCGATCCATCAAATAATAAGGGGGATGTCAAACCCCCGCGGGAATGGATCGTCTGAAGCCCAAGCGTTGGGCGCACATTGGTGGACTAAGAGGATTGTTGAGTGGTTGCGGGAGATTACAAACCTGTGCGGAGACTGTCTTTTTTCCCTCTTCCACAATGAAGTGTTCTGTTCACCTCTGATTGTCATTTTTCACCTATTGCCATTTTCGCGGTGGGAGCGGCTATACTCTGTACACTGCAGATGAACGTGATTTGGACCTGCTTAGAAAGGATCTCCAAAGAGCCCTGGAAGAGGGGAGGAAGTTGAGTCGAAAAATGTTCGCCACTTCAGTACGGGGTTTATGCAGCCTCTTATGTTCCGCGTGAATGAGAACCAGGACTGGCATGGCGTCATTTTGGCTTGTTGAGGCTCGATCGACATTGCATACTACCCACCCCCTGGAAAAACCTCCTTAAATCTATAATTACTCGGTTAAGGGTAGTCGGCGCTGTGGATAAGGTACCAATACTTGCCCTAACCAATAAATAGAGCGGATGGCGGTGTACCAAGTACCTACTAAGGGGAAGAGAAAAGAACTTTGCCTTCACCGAGTAATAATTTAATATGTGGCTGCCACGCGCCTCCCCCACTTTCTTAGAGACATGGAACCTGAGAGGCTAGGAGAAAGGAATAGAGAAGAGAAATGATGATCATTACCAAGGGAATACTTTCCACCTACTGAAAAGGTGCTAAGATAGACAAGTTCCCACCCGGAGACTCCCTAGGTACCACCGTGTACCGCATCCGCCGCACCGACCAACAAGTCACTCAGATGTACCCTTCCATGCCGTAACACCGATACCGACCCTCTCTTCCTTTCCCTCCTTCCCCCCCCCAAAGCTCTTCACCTTCTCTACATCTCTTAGAACCTCGACATACCCTACTATACCCTACTCTCTTTCGTCTCCCCTCCTTCAACTCTCCCGGTCCCGCCCATTTCGCCCTGAATTGAATTTTACTCAGCTCGACCAGCTCCCTTCAAGTCGACCCCGGTCGTCTTTACCAGGAAAATTACCATCTCTCTCTCCTTTCGACTTTCCACCGACCCCGGTAGCTACCTCAAGCGTAACACAGATTTCTCGTCTGGGGTACATCGCTAGGGGTAGACCGTGGTCGTTTTCATCAGCCTCCGCTTTTCCTCCGGCCCTTTAAAACCCTGACCCAATCGTGGGATCTTCATTACACCGCCACCCTGGACGTCTTTTTGATCCTGTGTGCCGCGAGCAGTAACCCTTATGGCCTCAGATACAGCGATGACTGAAGCCTCTCCTGTTGATACCTTGCCGCACCCAAACGACGGTGGCCGCATGCATATGTCATCCCTTTCTTCATCATCTTCCATATCCGACGCAGAAACAGAGCGTCGAGGCCGATCAGAACGACCCCGAATGGCGAGCCGAAAACCCAGTGCTTCTATCCTTGTCCCTCGGGATCACCCCGAAATCGAAATTGAGGAGGAGGAGTTCCCCCCAGACGACGCCCGCGCCATGAGTCCCCGACGGAATTCCGCCGATTTAGAACGCTTGGGCAAGGAGGCCCGTCAAACTCTACAAGAGTGAGTTTTACAAGCAGTTTGGAAGGAAACTAAGGTCTGAGTTTTGCAGTGGCTAATTATTGGGGTAAAATAGACAAGCCAAGGCCCTTCAGTCATCCCTCCAGGCTCTCGCCGAGCGTATCGATGCAGTGAAATCGGACCACGACAAGTTGGAAAACGAAAATAAAATCCTACAAGACTACATCGGTGGTCTCACCCGCAACATGACCAAGAGCGAAATGACCCGCAGTACGAAGGCCCGCAAAGCGCAGAAGTAAATAGGCCATCTCCCGAAGGGCAGAATGTCGCAAGATGGTCGAAGATCCTATTCCGTGAACATCAAGCTGGGGGTTTTGCGACAGAAGGGGGTTTTCTCAAAAGTGCGCCCGACCGATTCTACCGAGTTCCGATTTATCTTCACTTGCCCATTACGAAGAAATCCCTCCATATTTCTCTTCTCGCACATCCGACTGGTCGCTCCATGTTACATGTCCAGGTCAGCATGTTACGGTATCAACAACGACAGGGTTGAGGTCTCTGACAACACGAATGTCTTCCCTCTCTCTGAAATGGGAGGTCAGCGGTTATCCAGGGACGTCTTCCGATCGCCACTTTCTCACACATATCCACCCGACTGGTTCGGCCATCCGCAAAATTCCAAAAAAAAAGGAACTCGCATTTTCGAGTTGAACGCCACAACGCCATCATCGTCTCCACAGCCCCCTGTTCAACCGGGATCGAACCGCTGGATCGATGGAGGCTGAACTCGGATATATCTACTCAAGGGGGTTCAAGGGATCATTCGTGACATCATTGCATGTCTGATGTTCGTCAAGTGGTCCGCCACCTGAACCTTGGCAATCTTGGTGTTTCCGTTCTTCTTGCATCATCCTCAAACGCGGTGTGCGACGTTCTCCAGTGTGGCCACCTGCCTATTTTCATCCCTTGTCGATATTACTGAGCTTCCTCCTTCCTCACTTCTCTTACTCGGCGTTCTTTTTCTCTCTCGGCGGCTTTGTGAACCCATGTTTCACTTGTACTTTTTTTATCCTTCGTTTGTTTTCTTTTTTTCTTTTTTTTTTTTTTTTTTTTTGTCTTTCGATGCATAGCACATTGGGCGTTTCGGGGACTGGGACTAGACTCGATTTGATTGAATGACTCTTGCTGAAGCCGCACTGGAAATGTTTTCTCGTCATGGTTGCATTTGCATGGTGACGGTAATGGTCACAACAGGACGGCGTGGAAAGTGGAAAGCATCTTAGGGGTCCTTCGGAGCAGTCCATTTGTCTTCTTATCTTTACCTCTCTCTCATATGCCCTTTCGGTTTTCGGGGGTTCTCTGTACATCTGCGTTTTGTCATTCCTCTTTTCTTCCTTTCGTTTCTCTCCGACCATTCTTCTCCGTCACTCTCGACCTCTCGACCTCGACCTCTTTCCACTGGACTGACTATCCCCGCCGATTACTTTCTCGTCTCTCCATACGGGGAGACAGAGATGTCGAATCCCGTCATCTCTTTATCGCCCCTCTATTTCTTCTTGCACTTGCACTTTGCACTTGCTATACCCACGAGCGTGCATGTCTCAAGTACCCCCCTTTTACCCTTTTTTTTATTTTTTATTTTTTTCAATTTTTCAAAGTCCTCATCTCATTCATACCCCTTTTTATCGAGCCCGCATGGCTGGTAGCATTGTGGTTTCAACCATGGCAGCAAATGGAAACTATTTCAGATCAAACCGTCTTCCTTGTAGATCTCTTTTCGCTTATCACCTTATTTTTGAACCAGCCATAGCCGGACACGTAGATCCCCCGTATATATTGATTGGGTCAATGAACATGAACGTGAAAATAAAAGGGGGATCCCGAAACATTCCCAACTACTGATGATCCCATCCAATTGACTTAATACGAGGTATTAAAACAAGACAAACCGTAATGCGCGGAGTGTGTGCTTGACTTGATATGCAGTAACGGTATCCACTATAGTACATTACATTATATTACATCTGGGCGATTGGATCGGTTTATCAAAGTGATCATCTCGGACCCAACAAGGCCAAGGATACATGTACAATATATTAGACGACAGCGTGTTCCTTCCCTCCCACTCCCCTCGATCTCATCGCGATAACTCAATCCAGGGTAGATTATCTACTCTACATTGGTGGTGGAGGGTACCAAAACCACACGGACGGGGTCAATGCGATCTGAAGAGCCTGGGCAATATGACCGTTAGCAATTCGCGCAGGAGATCGTCAGTCCGACCCGAGCGACTTCTTCACCGGTTCTTTGCGCGTGCTCGCTTTCGTTTTCACGCGCAATTCTAGGGTTGACCTCTGGCACTAAGTTGCGTGGGAGGATCACTTCTAGATTAAATTGCTGGAATACCGGGAGCTAAGTATGTTGACTGGATATTGAGATGGTTTATGGGTGAGGCATATATTGCGGACGATCGATGAGAGGGTAATACGCAAAGTATTCCCGGGGAACCGGTATGCAGGAGCGTCTTATTATACCCATCTAGGTAGCTGCCCAGGTAAGTTAACCATTTAGCCCGAGGAGCGACGATAACCTACTTTGTGGGTTATAGGGTCTCATAGCCTTTGCATGTAAACGTTTATGTTTAAAGTTATTGACCTCTCTGATAGAAACGGTTCTTCTATCAGGATCAATGTGGATATATTGTTTACTGCGTCTACAAGAGGCCATAGGCCAATAAAGGAAAGAAAGAAATGGCTGTACCCCATGGAGAGGGGAAACGCAAATAATGCGTAGGTGTCATATCAAGCCGCAACCACAGTTTAGGCACCTGTACATACATAATCCAGGCAGGTGTCATTACTGACACCCTGAGCAAGCTTCAAGTCCTCTCAACAGTGATCACACGACTGCCACAGACTCCGATCTGCAGCCTTGGACAGAGAGCCCGCTTAGAAAGAGATACATAGGCAGGCAGAGCTGAGGGTTGCCCTCGTTAGGATTACTACTGGTCTTTCAATTGGTTAGAAGTTAGGCGACGTTGAACTCTTTCATTCGCCTCGTCCCATCAAACCCGTAGCTTTCCACCTCATCTGCTCTTCTACTATTCTACATTCTCGCTAGCAGTGATATATGGCTCATATCGTTTTGTTTCCGAAATTAGAGCCAACAGGACTGAATCTGAATGTTCGACAACCAGACACCTCATAAAGAGCTAAAACAGTGCAGTCATAACCCTGATACAGCACTTCCATCTTCAAGCAGCAGTAGTCGAAGGACCCGCAGGAATAAATTAGTCCAATCGGAATGTGCGAGAATGGTGCCGTCGGGTTCATTTACCAAGAAGGTTTCTACCTTCTCCCTTCGTACCTAAAGCCCAAATAAGCTGATAGCTACAAGCGAATTTTCTCCATTGGCTGGAATCAAACCTAATATCTGCCATGTTGGTTTTATCTGCTAACTATCTCCATCCGCGGCATGTGATTAGTCGGCAGTTCATCTATATAACAGTCGAAAATCTCTACAACATAGAAGTCTAGTTCGGACATTTATATTTAATTAAAGCAAACAAATTACATAGGAAATGTGCAAACTGCACCTCTTATCAGGTGGAAACTGCAAATAGCCTGGACAGAGTGCAGTGGATGAACTCGCCACAGCATCGTAAGTCCATTTTAGACCCGGACATACGACCGTCTGACTATCTATCTTGCCAGATATCCTTAGCTTTATTATCTCTAGAAAGCAAGATGAGGACAGCACTATCAGACCTATGGAGATCATACTTAAAGCCGAGATGGCTAATCACAGCTTGGAACGGCACCGTCGGTTCCTATATACTCAGAAATAAGTATATAGCAGACTATCAGGGAAACTTATTTATATTGGTACGCCCTTCACCTTACTTCCTTAGTTTCAACCCTCCATTCTATATCCTTATTTACCTCCCTACTCCCCAAAATGCCTCTCTACAACACCTATCCCGGCTTCCTATATTGCCAGTTCTTATTTTGCTCTCCCCAAGCACCGTCCAGCACCTCCCTTCGCGACAAAGCTGGTCTTGTGACAGGCTCCAACACTGAACGGGGCTGTTAGTCCTGTGATCAGTTACTCGGGCTTGGACTGTCCCATCTGATTCTGGCCGTCCGCAATGCCTCCAAGGGCGAAGCTGCGACTAGCCTCGCTTCCCGCTTCAGCAAAGATCCTAATGGTCGAGGTCTGGGAATTGGATCTGAATAGCTATGCTAGTGTTAAGCGGTCCAACATTCAGATCGACTTTGCTCTTCTCAACGCCGGTGTTGCCAATTTCAACTTTACCGTTAAGCGGTCTACCTCTCACGAAACAACTGTTCTGACCAACTGGCTGAGCACAGCTCTCCTTTGTTGCCCATGCTCAGTCAGCAGACTGCCGACAATCCCAACCACAGCCGTCCAGTGATTTCTATTGTCGGCAGTGAAACTGCCGCCTGGGCCAAATTCAAGGAAGCCCAAGAAGGAATCCCGCTTATAACTGTGTTGGATGACCGGACTCACTTCGACATGGGTGATCGATACTATATCTCTAAGCTGCTATACCGGCTCTTCTTCCTCGAGCCATTCCACACCCACCGATCCAGTGCCCAACGCTCTCAAGGCACCATTCTAAACTTGGTCAACCCCGAGGTTTGGGATTCTCTCAATTCTTGGCCAATGCGCGTCTTGCCTGAGTACCTGATTCTATTGAAACAGGATCGTCCGAGTGCCTTGTTACTTTCGGGCTACTATACCATCCTTCTACGGCCACTTCAGGGAAAATGGTTGCTGAGAGGGCCGGGTTACGAAACTGGTCGATGTGATTGCGCGACAGAGGGGAGAGGCTCACCACAGCTCTGGGACTTAATTTTCGGGATTCCGCAGATCTTCGTAGTTTAAAATGAGAGATGAGATGACTGCATAGGTACTCATTCATATAAGAGTGAGGCTCCATTCCAACAATCACATGATCGTTGTATAGCCCTAAGAGCACTACCCCGTGGCTTCCCGGTCGTCTTGGGAGGCCCAATGGTGGAGTACTCGCATATTCTCATATGAAATGTACGGGTAGTGCTACGTTATACTACGATAATCAACGTAAACCCACGGCTGGCTCTTTTTGTCATTTTCAACGGTTGACTTATCCAAGTTCAGTCAATTAATATAACATATTTGCTAACTGTTCTACCGTTTCATCTCGAACATATAAACATTCTTTTATGCAAGTCATAACCGGAGGCATAATATAACTGCTCATTGCTTGTAATATTGACCCAGAATTCATGACACACCAGCAAGACCAGACCTCCAGCTTCCAGAGCCATCGTTGATCTCCGGTTGAAATGAACGGAAGAAGTTACAGCTAATGACCGAGATTGAAAGATGGCGACTCGGAGAAATATGCGTATCTTACTCAAGAGCTTATACGTCTTGAACGTTAATAGCTCAATCTAGACCCTAAGCGTTGAACGAGGATTCAATCGGCTCGCTAAAAGCAAGGTGTTTTGAGAGGAGTTACACATAGCTTGAGACCAGTTAGACCTACTATGCGAGTCATTAAGGTCTAGTAATAGAGCCAGAAGGTTTGAATATGAGTATGCACCAGAAGGAATGCACGGCAAAAATTTTCTCTTTTGGGGTGATATCAAACCAGAGTGAAAAAGATGCATAAAATGCGTGAAACGGTATACTCGCTTCAAGACTCAGTTTCGTGTAGAGACTGTCCAACACTGCATCAGTGGCATTGTATACACATCATTATAACTCTTGTTGTTCCCAGGTAAGGATCCACTGTTTACATGCTTCGACTACATTTACTCAATCAAAGCAAGTGATAAGGTCAATATACGAATTTATCTTCGAACCCAGGTCTAGCGAGAATCAAACGCCATATGGCACAGAGTACGGGAGATAAATAAGAAAAGGGAAGAAAGCCAAGCCGGAGATCAGCAAGATACATCATCGTGGAAGTCCTGATAAGGAACTGATTTAATAAAAACTTCTGTGGTGTCCTGTGTATGTGTTGGGGTGCTGTGAGAGTGCGCGCAAAGGGACTCTTTGGGTAGTTAAGAGGCAAAGTAGACAAAATAACAAGGAGAATGAAAAACGAAAAAGAGGAGACAGATAGATATCCCCAGGCAGAGAACACAAGCACCGGGCCAAAAGCAAAGGAGGCACAAGGTAAGTAGAGGATCAAAGTGAAATGGACCAGTGAGCACCAACATCAAAGCACGGTTATTTCTCTAGTAGGCCCTTGCGAGCCATGGCAGGAGAGCAAACCAACTCATGTCAATACATCTCACGGTCCTTTTCTCCTCGTCTTCACTCTATGTCCTTGCACTGGGAGACCCGTCGCGCGCTCTCTCTCTCGGTTGTCCCATCCGTCCTGAGGACGTGAGTCCTTCAACAAGATCTTTTTAGGTGTTACTCATTTACTCGGCGGGCTTCTCACCCTCGGTGGCCGGGGCTTCCTCCTTCTTCTCGGCAGGGGCGGCGCTGTCGGCAGCGGGCTCAGCCTCGGACGAGGTCCAGAGAGTCTAAGAAAGACTGGTCAGTATTTGTACTTCATCCATGAAGAGCGTAGTACGTACCAGGTTATCACGGAGGAGCTGCATGATGAGGGTGGAGTCCTTGTAGCTCTCCTCGCTCAGGGTGTCGAGCTCTGCAGACAAATGTTAGTTCTGAATCATGGAGGCTTCGAGGAAATACGTCGAGACGTACCAGCAATAGCATCGTCGAAGGCGAGCTTAGCGAGGTGGCAAGCCTGGTCGGGAGAGTTGAGGATCTCGTAGTAGAAGACGGAGAAGTTAAGAGCGAGACCGAGACGGATGGGGTGGGTAGGGGCGAGGTCAGTCTGAGCGATCTCGGTGGCGGCCTTGTAGGCCTCCAGAGAGTAGTCGGCGGCACCCTTGCGGCGGTCGCCAATGGCGAACTCGGCAAGGTAACGGTGGTAGTCACCCTTCATCTTGTGATAGAAGACCTTCGACTCGCCGCTCTGGGCGGACTTGATGAGGTGCTCATCGAGAACCTCGAGGATGTCATCGCAGATCTTGGCAAGCTCGGCCTCGATCTTCTGGCGGTACTCCTTAATCAGAGTGACCTGGGACTCGTTGCCCTTGGACTCCTCCTTCTGCTCGATCGAGGTGACGATTCTCCAGGAAGCACGGCGGGCACCGATGACGTTCTTGTAAGCGACGGACAGGAGATTCCGCTCCTCAACGGTGAGCTCAACGTCGGCCGAGGCAACGACCTTCATGTTCTCGACCATCTCTGTGTCGCATGGTCAGCGGATATGATTGAGATTCTGGGGTTGACCAACCAACCTTCATAGCGCTCAGCCTGCTCAGCGAGCTTGGCGAGGTAGACAGCGTCTTCGTGACCCATGATGAAAATGTGTTTTCTGCAGGGATTAGAGCAGGTTAGCTATTTTTCAACTAAAATTCTCGAGTGCCACGATTTTCGAGATAGAAGGCATCAAATCACGCCATCGTGAGCAGTGCAAGCAAGGCGGTCGGGAGGGGTAGACAATAACCCCTCAAGCATCGAGGGGTCCAGGTGTAAATTTTCCAAGAATATCATGTAGAGAATGATCAAGTCATTGGGACGAAAATGCGTGATGGCAGATCATGACGATCATTGGTGATAGCCCAGTGGCCACACTGCCTTGGTTCCCCTGCGTAGTTGGGTATCGCAGGAAAGCGGTCGCGGCACCAGTTCAGCGGGTAAACAAGGCAACGGAGACATGTAGTTTCCACCATAATATCGTGACGCGATTCCATCGACCCGACTTGACCTCAAGGATATTTTGGAGGGAAGAGGGGGGTTGTCTTTTCGAGCCTTGAAACCAGATTCGTGATATGTGTGTGGGGGGGGAAGAATGATGTGTGCCGTGGGAATGGAAGTATCAGGAGATAGACAGAGAGAACACTCACCTTGTTTGAAGAGAAAAAGGTGGAAAAGGAGATAGATGGATGGGGGATGAAGGGAGTTGAAGAGAGAGAAGGGGAGAGGAGAAGGAGGGGGAAACACAGAAGGCGGTGTTGTTGGGATTTACGCCTGAACAACCCACTTCGGCTTCTATTGAAAGGAACAGACTAGGAGTACTGGTCATTTACTCTAATTAATTCTTATTTCTCTTCCAACTTTGTACTGGTACTTCGAGTACATACTACACACACACTCTCTCTCTCTCCTCTCATCTTCTATGTGGTTCGGTGGGCCAGCATCGTCATCTCCCATTCCGCGCCAATCGCCCGGGGTTCCTTACTTGCGCCTTATTAGAGAACCATCCAAGGCAGACCAGCCGCTAGTTCCATGTTGACTCCCGTGTCTACCTTTTTGCTACTATTTTTTGGGGGGACCCGGTCCAGACAAGAGGCTTAGCAGGTCATCTGCAGAGTCTCCCATGATCTCGTAGTTTACAAGTCGAATGAGAGCTCATCTACTTATCGCATCTCTTCTGCGCCGGAAACAGAAATTTCTGTTCACATGGGAATTGATAGGGACACTCCCACTTTTGTTCCGGACACTCCTAATTATGTAATATCCATGATTAGGTAATTGAAAACGTCATGTGATTGTATTGGAATTACCACAGCAACATCATTCTAAATGTCATACCATAGTATAGTATATTAAACGTATAAATCCCCAGCTCTCGCCTCCCTCTTTTCTTAGCTCCTCAAATCTCTGCCTCTCGGATTTTTCAGAAATGGAGCCCCCTACTGAGCAAATTTTTGATAGCAGAGATTTATTAATTGCCTCTGTCCGTCAGCATGCTCTCTCGCAAGGTTACGCTGTCACTACTATACGATCAATCACAGATAAGTACATCTATCTTGGTTGTGACCGTGGTGGCACGTATCGTGACCGAGTGAATGCTCCTGATGGAGCGAAACGAAGAACGACAACTACACGGCGGATTGGCTGTCCATTTAAGCTATACGGGAAAATGCTTTTTGATGATAAGTGGGAGCTACAGGTCCAAAACCGGAATCATAATCACACAGCTGATGATAATATGATCGGACATTCAGCTGCCCGTCGGCTCACAGAGGAGCAGCTTCAAAAGGTCCTACATCTATCGGAAATTGGATCTCCCCCTCGTGGCATCCTAGCTCTAATCAAACGAGAGCATCCTAATGTTTTAGTTACCCCTCGAGACATCTACAATGCGCGAAGTGCTTTACGAAGGCAAAAGCTCGGTAATAGTACTCCCCTTGAGTTTCTACTGAAGACTTTGAAGGAAAATCACTGGAAATATGCTATTAAGCAGGATAGCGAAGGACATGTCCTCTTTTTTATGTTTGCACACCCAGAGTCAATCAAGTATGCTAACCTATACAACAGGGTATTCGTCCTAGACTGCACCTATAAGACAAACCGATATCGTATGCCTCTATTGCATATTATTGGTGTCTCGCCATCAAATTCAACCTTTAGCGTTGCATTTTGCTTTATGCAGGATGAACAGGAAGAGAGCTATATTTGGGCTTTAAAGACTTTTTTCTCATTTCTCGACCCCCTCTCTTTCTATCCAGTTCTTTGTACAGATAGAGACCTTGCATTATTAGGTGCTGTCAAGGTCGTCTGTCCAGATTATCCCCATCTTCTTTGCATCTGGCATATTAACAAGAACGTAACGTCTAATACGAAGCAGCATTTTACGACGAACGCCGAATATCAAACATTTCAAAAATCATGGAATCAGCTAATTTATTCTACTACAGAGAACGACTACAATTCGAGGCTATCAGAGTTCGAGAAGCGATATCAGACCTCCCCTTCTCTTCGATATGTTAAGGAGACATGGCTAATTCATAAAGAAAAATTTATAGTTGCATGGACACAACAATGCCTACACCTCGGTAATTCTGCGACCTCTCGAGTTGAAGGCTCACATGCCTTTTTAAAAAAGCACATCGGTGCTTCGACAGGGGATATGTTGATCGTATTTGAAAGGATTTCACAGGCTTTACAAACCCGGCATGCTACGCTTGAATATGATTTTAGACGAGATCAGATTGAGAGGCCAGTAGTAACCTTACATCAACTTTATACTAATATTGTGATCAGGACCTCCCGCTATTCGATACGACTAATTGGCGAGCAAGTTACAAAGGCTAGAAGAGCTACAAATCTTGCTCCTTTACCCCCTTGTACTAATACGTTCACAAGGACAATGGGTCTTCCTTGTGCCCATCGGATTACTAGTTTATTGGAGAGCAATAAAGCTATCCCATTGACAGATATCCACCCATTCTGGCGAACTGGGCTTTCTGAAATGGAATCAGAATACCTTCCTCTCTTAGAGCCTTTGATTCCTTTTCCAAAGCCTAAAAAGCGGAAGTGGGATCAATTGGAGCAGAAAGACAACAGCCAGACTATGAATAAACGGAAGAGGGCACCCTTTAAATGCACTGCATGTGGTAAAGTTGGGCATACACGAAGGTCATGTAAATAATACGGAGAATGAATACCAATACAATCACATGACGTTTTCAATTACCTAATCATGGATATTACATAATTAGGAGTGTCCGGAACAAAAGTGGGAGTGTCCCTATCAATTCCCTGTTCACATGACTTGCTGACATAATTTTGATCTGACATAATTCCCTCACATGACGTTTCTTGGCAGGTTATGTCATGGCTGCTGGCTGACCTGCTCCTCTTGTACCTTTGTAAACTTTCCCCTTTCAACCTTCTCTCTCTTTCAAACCTTACTATTCCATCAAGATGCTCCGTCAATTCATTGTCCGCCCTGCCGTCACTGCCAACCGGGCAGTTATGACCCGCTCATTCTCCGTCGCTGTCCCTCGAATGGGTGAGGGTGATACTGGCGCCCCTCGTTCCGGTAGTGGTGCCACTTCTGGGTAAGCAAGATACATATCCGAGGTCTTCCTGTGGCAGTCTGGCCTGGTTTCAATTGCTAGCCCAGCATGTCCGTCTTGCTACATTTTGATGACATCATACTCACAATGATCATCGCTAACATCTTTGCTCTGCCAGTGACGCATTCACTCGCCGCGAGGCCGCTCAGGAGAGCCTTTACATCCGCGAGAAGGAGCTGGAGAAGTAAGTCTTACCGTTAGACGGTCAAATTAAGAATATGAGCTAATCGTGCTGTCAGGCTTGCTGCACTCAAGAAGAAGATTACTGAGCAGCGCAAGCACCTCGATGAGCTCGAGAACCACATGTGAGTGCACTATTCTATATCCTCGAGGGGATTTTCTGTCATTTCACCTGCTCGCTGGACGTGACAATGCAATATAAATAACATAACTGACCCGTTTTCATTTAGTGACGGCCTGAGCCGCCAATAGACCCATCGTCTATGCATCCTGCATTTATGAATAGCTACACTAAGCTCAGTGTATAATAGCATCTCCACTCCAAGCCATCCGGGTTTGTTTGCTGGATTGAGCTCCGTTTTTCATTACTAGCGCCTATGCCTCGGAAAGCATCTCTCTGCCATCAATTTCCTGGGTTTCTCTATTGAACTTTGCACTGTGTATGAGATACATGATTTGTGTCCCTGTAGCCTCGAGGGCATTCCTGCGTAAGGGAATGATATCGAGCTGATCTGATAACAGCTTGACAGTTCTCGAGGATTAAAGTCGCCGTAGGAACATGCACATCAGAGTGCGTATAATCATGTAGGCCTCAATATACACAAACCTAGTCCAGGTGTCAAGTATCGCATATCATTCCGTGGTGCAATATCTCAGAATGAAATAAGCTCATTCCGAAGTGACAGGGCGGCGGTGGATATTTGTTGACTGCTCCACATATCAAGGCCCACACCTACATTTGGAGCTCTTTCCTATACAATCCTTCTTCCTTCTTCATCTCTCACAACTTGCCCATGCGCAAATCGAAGCATCAATGCTATCTGGGCTACACCCTCTGGTGATTCCAAGGCTACCCCACCATGCCTCTCCTTGATCTACCAAACGAGATTCTGCTCACCATAGCAGAACCCCTGGGCTCCCAGAAAGACATTAACGCGCTGGCCCAGACAAATCGTCACTTCTACAGTCTCTTTAATCCATTTCTCTACGCGCACAACGTCAAATACCACAGAGGATACGCACTTGAATGGGCAGCAGCCCGCGGAGTGCTAGAGTCAGTCAAAGAATCCATCCGACAAGGAGCACAGATCCATCTCGGGTACTCGAGTCAAGCCTTGCTCAATGCAGCAAACTATGGCCATGCCAAGATTGCAGCTTATCTGATCTCCCTTGGAGCAAATCCTCACTCAGAGGAAAGAGGAGTTATCAGCCGGACCCCAATTGAATGGGCTATCCTCCACAACCACTCAAAAGTGGTCAAACTCCTGATCGAGAATGGGGTTCATCCAAACACAAAGGACAAGAACGGACAGTCGCTGTTGCATCTTGCCGCCAAGTTCTCCCCAAGGAACCACGAGGCAGTGACCCGGATCCTCATCGCCAAAGGCGCAAACATTGAAGCTGAGAACCTTCTCGTGGAGACTCCACTACGCGTGGCATGTGCATCTGGCTCGTTGGAAGTGGCACTATGCCTGATAGAAAACGGCGCTGAGATCAACCACAGGGACCAAAACAACAATGGAACACTACTACATCTAGCAGCCCTCAAAAACAAAGTCCAAATCGCCAAGATGCTACTGGAAAAGGGAGCCTCGATCGAAGCGAAAGATTCCTACGGCTGTACACCACTCCATATCGCCTGCTTCAACGGCCACAAACAAACAGCCCTGTTCCTACTCGACAAAGGCGCAAACATAGAAGCACAGTCAATAAACGGGAGCAGACCGTTACACCTAGCCACGATCTGGGAGACTCGGATTGATCGAATTGAGGAACTGCTTCGAATCACCACACTCCTGCTAGCACGAGGAGCAGACCCAGAGCCGAAAAACCTCCGTGGAATTACGCCCTTGCATTGTGCAATGAAGAAGGATAATGCGGCTCTATGCAAGATCCTACTCGACTACGATATTGATCCGGCACCAAGAGACAATCGCGGGCGTACGCCGCTTCACTGTCTACCGGGCAGTTATTGTGCAGAAACGGCTAGGCTTTTGTTGGAACGGGGTGCTGATGTACAGCCCCAAGATATGAATGGTGATACGCCTCTGCATATGGGTGCCAGCAAGCCAGTGCCGGAATTTGTTGAGCAGTTGCTAGCTGCCGGTGCTGACCCTCATATCATGAACAATCAAAATAATACTCCGATTGATCTGAAGATGGGGTGGACGAACCACCAATGGCCGACGGGCCTATGGCCGAAAATGAGCGGCGAGATTCACGACATTCTCTTGGGTGCAGCATCCAACTCATGAGGGAAGACATACGTGGCAGGTATCCAAGCATTAATCAATCCTTACCCTTGGCAAGATGAACAAAAGTAACTACATGTGGAAACGTCGTGCCATATGATAGTTGAGGGATCAAAGTCCTGATTTCACAAGAGAAACAAAAGTCAATTATCAGAAGCGCATGCAAACAGTTTATTGTGACCGACTATTAGCATTCCCTGACTGCAAGAGTACATTCCTTAAAGCACATTGAGGTGCCAAGTAGCCGATAACTCCGAGTTCAAATCATTAGAAAAACATCAACCGCCCTCTACCGCCGACCCATGTAGGAGCGGTAGAAGTCATCAGCGGCGTGACCATTGCCCATGCCAGGGCTGGCGTACCCGTATCCGAGACGGGCAGAGATCGACTGGCCCGCTTGGTGGGCTGCAGCAACCTTGGCCTGCAGGTCCGAAGTGCCTTGGTCGATGACCTGGAGCTGGGACAGGTGCGAGTTGAGGATACGGACGATCTGGGAGATCTATAGAGCTGTGTTAGTAGGTATCGCAGGAGGAAAATATCAAGTCTTTAACTTACAGGCTCGTCTGCCTTGTTGGTCTTGCTCAATGTTGCCGAAGCGCCGTTCACCTCCTCGATCATGCTGGTAAGGTCCTTGCCCATCTCGTCCAGGCGATCCGAGAGCTTCTCAGCCAGTTTGTATCTGTCGGCCATGTTAGTCAAAGGGATCTTGCAGTAAAGAGTTCATCAAAAGGCAGGTACTCACGTCTTCTCACGTTCCTGATCGGGTCCTTGCAGGGACTCTCCAGGGCCCACTTGCTTGGAAACCATCTCATCCACTTCACGCTCATATCGGTCCAACCATGCGCTGAGCTCATCCTGTTGGCCTTCTACAGATGCCAGTTGGCGCTCAACTTCCTGGGTGGCCCGGTCCGCGTCAACAGTGCTACCGTACAGCTTCTGAACCTTGGTACCATTCTCTACTAGCAGACGATCCCATTCAGAAACCTTCTCGGCCTGTTCGCGGAAGTCCTTCTGGTACTTGGTAAGGTCTGTGGCCCATCGGGTAATGATCTCATCCATAGTCTTGTTCTTCAGACGTGACTGAGCTGGGGGAGCGGGGCCAGCCGTAGACTGACCAAGGGCAGAGATACCCGTTGCTGTAGCAGTGGCGCCTGAGGTGGCAGTTGCGGTCGAAGCAGGAGCTGGGGCGGTGGTCGTGGTACCGCCGAGAGGTGCGGCTGGTTTGGTCGAGGGGGTGGAGGCGGCCTGGCCGAATAGACCACCGGTAGGAGCGGCAGTCTGTGCAGTAGATGTAGCAGGCGCAGCGGTTGTAGCAGCAGTACCTGGAGTAGTCGAGGCAGTTGTCTTGCCAAGGCCGGAGAACAAGGACCCAGAGGGAGCCGCGGCCGGGGTAGTTGAAGGTGCAGCAGTGGATGCGGCACCACCTAGAGCAGGGAAAAGAGACTTCTGAGGAGTAGCAGTCGAGGAAGCGGGGGCTCCTAGGGAGGGCTGGGTAGCAGCGCTTGTGGTGGAAGGAGCCGCACCGCCGAGGCTGAATGCAGGCTTCGGAGTAGATGCGCCAGCGGCAGTAGACGCATTGTTGCCAAACAGAGAAGGAGTCGATTGCTGCCCAGTAGTCGACTGTTGGCTGCCCTGCGCAGTTGCCGCAGCCCCAAACAGTGGCGGCTTGGGGGTGCTCTCGGCAGGAGCGGGAGTGGTTGACGCGGCCGGTTTGTCCTGATTTCCACCACCGAAAAGATTACTGCTGGGTGCAGCAGCAGGGGCTCCTCCTCCGAACAATGGCTTCGCAGCACCAGACGCAGCGGGAGCTCCCGCCCCGAAGAGACCAGAAGACGGCTGTGATGTAGTGGGTGTCGTCGACGAGGGCGTGGCGGCGGAAGGTGTGGTGGAAGCGCCAGCTCCGAAGAGGCTAGTGGGTGCTTTAGATCCTGGTGGGGGGCCTGCAGGAGTGGTAGAATTGTTTCCGAACAAGGAACCGCTGGCGGGGGCAGGTGTCGCAGAGGCAGCGTTTCCAAACATGCTCTTTCCACCACCACCGCCGCCGCCGCCGCCAAACAGTCCGCTGGTGGAAGTCTGACCGGGTGTAGTCGATTCTGTAGTCTTGTTGGGAGTTTGGCTGCCGCCGCCACCGAACAATGAGTTAGTCTGGGTGCTGGGCGCACCGCCGAAGCTGAAGCCGGAGCTAGCACCGGGGGTCGCATTGGAAGCACCTGCATTAGAAGCACCTCCACCGAACATCGTGTTGCCCGATCCTGCGGCTGAGCCTCCTCCAAACATAGAGGGCGACGAAGTACCGCTGGCCGGAGCTCCAACGTTCCCGAAGAGACTGTTAGTCGTTCCGGGTGTTGTGGTATTCTTGTTGGCACCGAAAGCATTGCCGCCGGATCCGAAGAGGCCTCCGCTGGGTGTGCCGCTGGGGGTGCCGCTGGAGGGTGTACCGCCGAAGGAGAAAGACATGGTGTTGGGTTGGCGCGATCAGGGTAATGGAGGAACTTGGGTTGATGGGAAAAAGCTGGACGAAGAGAGCGCCAGCGACAAAAAGCAGGGGTTGGGGATCCTGCAGAAAGGATCAAAAGATCCAAGAAAAGAGAAACGATCTCTTAATTGAATGGATTTTGACAATAGGACTCGGGTTGATTGAAGAAAGGCGACACAATGAGACCAAGGTGCAGCAATAATAATTGAAGGAGTTTGGCAGCACGCGCGGGAGCTGCCGCCGGAAATATGAGGCACCAAAAGTTTACTTTCTGCCTGAGAAAGCAGGCTACAAATTACATGTGTGCCTGAGGCGGGCGTGTTCTGGACTCGCATCGATTACAGGGAAACGACGTCGTCACTCACGCTACGCACTGTGCATTGCATTTCAACCATTTTCTTCTCCCGTGTGCCCCTTCTTTCATGTTCATACCCTGAATCCAGCAGCAATAATGTCGGAGGGGCCGTCCGATTCGTCCAATGTGCATCTAGGGCCCCCCAGCAAGACTACTGAATTGCAAGACCCAGGAGCTGAGGACAACAGTAGGTCCTTGAGTATGCTTTGAGTATTTGGTGATATTTAACTAACAATCTCCTCCAGCAGCTTCAGAAAGCGGCGACGAATATTTCTCAGATGCCAGTGAAGGCCAGCCTCAGTACCTGTCAAGCCCACAATCCGGTCGCACTTCCCCTGTCCCGCGGACACGAGTCGAGAGGGTCGACAGCAGCGCCCAACATGGCGAGGTTCCCGGCACATCAGCATTCGAAAAGAGGGAGCAGGATGCAGTTCCCGACGAAATTGAAGTCGTTCCAGAGGGTGAAACTAGCTCAAACCATTCACCCGCGGGGTCAGATGAGGACCGAGCCTTAACCCCAGGAGGGTCGCCCATCCCGCGGACGGTGGTTGAGAAGGTGGACCCAGAAGAGGCCAGCCATGGTGAAGTGCCTGGCACATCAGCACATGAAAAGCGGCTTGCGGATGCTGTGCCCGACGTCGTAATAAAGGCATCCGACTCTAAGGACAGCCCAACGCCAGCACTTGACCCTATCCCCCCTGAGACCGATACAACTGTATCAGAAATTCCCGAGACACGACTAGAGCGAGTGGACTCAGTGCCTGCCGAGAAAGACACCCATCCACAAGCTCACCAGAGCTCACCAAGTGACCCATTACCGGATTCGGTAGAAACGGTCCCAGATGCCTCGACATCAACAGAAACCTTCTCTGCGAGCCACGACCCTTTACGGCAGGATGATATAGATGACGACGATTTTGGAGAACCAGAGCAAGGAGCGGATGACTTTGATGAATTTGTAGAAGAGCAGGATGACATGGGAGATGATGATTTTGGAGACTTTGACGACGGCTTCCAAGAGCCCAGCGCTGAAGACGCTGAAGCAGCTGCCACCGACGGAACAGCAACAACCCAACCTCCCTCCCTCCCATCAGTTGTACGTGCTTGAGCCCAACACTATTCACGCTCCCGACTAACCCTTGCAACCACGTCAGCCCCCTCTCATCGATTTCGACACCATCAAATCCACATCCGACCTCCTCACCTCCCTCCAGGGAACCCTAGACAACCTCCTCCCCGCCACTCAAGACCTAAGCACTCTCCTGCCCGTCGAATCAATCCCAGACTCAGCAGCAGTCTTCAGCACCGAGCGCTCCCTCTCACTATGGTCACAGCTCGTGGCCCCACCGCCCCTCCAACCCCAAAACTGGGTGAAATCTCGCATCCGCCGCCTATTTCTTGTATCCTTAGGCGTGCCCGTCGATCTAGACGAGATCCTCCCAGCCTCCAAACAGAAAAAGCTCATCCTCCCCTCTATCGACCTCGAGGGCTCAGGCGCAAAGAGCCCAACCTCCCGACCAACCAGCCAACCCGGAAAAGAAGGCGATGGCACAGCCGATAATGCCGAAAAAGGGCAAGCCTCCTCGCGCCAGAAACATACATCTACATCCCGTCGCGGTGCACCGCCGCCGCCTGAAATGGACCTTTCGGCTGTTCGCCGGCTGTGCGCGACCACAGACGCCGCGCTTAGCGGTCTTACTGACTTAGAGTTGGAATCGCATGTTAAGGAATTGGAGCAAGCCACGCAGCGGGCCAGTTCGGTGTTGGAGCACTGGCTCAAGCGGCGGGATGGGCTCGTCGGTGAAAAGGAGGCTTTCGAGGGCGTTATTGAGAACCTCGTTAGTCATGTGAGGAGAGTTAGGAAGTAGTGTTCCTCCTTTCTTTCTCCTGGGTACTTTTCGTATACTATCTAAATGCCCAATATAATACACTTTATGTATAATGCAATGTCGAGCGGAGAATGTCTTCGTTGAATGAGTATGGACCTTTCATTTCTATGGGCCTTATCAAGTAGATGTATATAGAATACGATGTTGCTAGAAAGGTTTTAGGCAAGCTAAGAATGTGCTGATTAAATTCTGCAAGAAGAGAAACTATTATGTGCAAAGGGTTGCATCTGCACGCCCTGAAAAGAGGAAAAAGTAGGAAGCAGGAAACATGGAAGCTAGCTATAACACCCGGTCTCTGAACGCCAGTAATGAGAAAATGCATTGGAAGGAACATGCGATAAAAGGGTATCTTTCTTTTCAAGTGTGTGCATGCAATAAAAGCTGAAACGCGTGGGAAGCATAAAGTGGGTGGGTAGGTAAGACAGGGGGCATAAGAGGTGACTCTATGCATCTGTCTTGCAGGAAATGATAGGCGCAAGAAGATAAACGAAGGGCGAGTGACCTGGCAATGGACCAAATAGCAGCATCCACTTAGTCCAGTTCGATGACGGTATGATCCTGCATCACAGAAGCCTGGGTCACAGGCGGACTGACTCCAATCTTGGGGCGTGGTCCCCCCTGGCCTTGGGGGTTTTCCATAGAATCAGCCTTGCGCTTCGTCGCGAGACGGGCCCGGTCAGCTGGAGAAGAAGGCTCGTCAGAGGCTTCCCTCAACGTCCACGAACCATCAGCCTTGAATTGGATTGCCTGGGCGCGGTCGAGTCGATTGGTGCGGGCGAGGTTGGCGTGCACGTCAGCGAGGAACTGGTCGATGACGAGAAACTGCGGACGAGCATCTTTCTTGCAGGTGGGACAGCGCCAATTCTCGATCATGGGCTTCTCGTCAGATTTGAACATTCTGGTTTTGATAAAGGTGTCGAGGTCGAAGCAGTCGAAATGAGTGCAGTTTCGGGACCGGGCTGGGATATCGAATATGCGGGCCATGAAGGGGTCCACAAGGCTGATTGTCAGGTTGTCGGTTACGACGGCCAAGTCGTCGTCGTCTAATGTTGGGGTGAGGCGCTTTTGGATGAGTGCCCGAGAGTCTGCGGCTGGGATGGGCCGTGCCATGCTTTTGAGTTGCTCGAAATCACTGATTCTGAGTATTTCCACGCCCATGGCATATCTTGAATTCTTGCACTCGTCTTGTCCCAGAAGCAGGGTGATCTTGATGGTGTTTCGGCCGGGGCGAATGTTCGCCGTGATATCTAGGGGGAGGTCTTTTCCGTTGTGAACTTTTCGACGTACGAACATCTCTTGGTCGTTGACGTGAATGTAGAGAACGCTGGGCCAATAAGTGCTTTCGTTAGGCCATTGCTCTGCACCGGAGGTGGGATTGCCAGGAAGGCGGATGGACCGCAACCGAAGAGTGTTACAACCAGGCCTGTAGGTCCAAATGGGACGTTGCCCTGGGTTTTGTGGAGTCATGTGTGGAAATGTTTGGTAGAACGTCTCCGGAACATCGAAGTTCCACTCGTACATCGGCACCTGAGGACTAATGATGGTCGTCGGTATAGCGCAACCGGCAAGGTAGCAAGACAAGTTGGTTTCAATCTCCTGTCCATCTGTCCCCTTGGTCAGCAGCTTTTTGATGGGATCGCGAAGATTCGCCTGATGTAAGCCGAGCCGCATTGGATTTGGATTAACCGTCATCGGCGCTCTATAATCAGGTGTTGGGAGAAAGTAAGAGATCGAAGGATCCCGTTGAAGAGTCTGAGCTGGTGTGATAGGTGCAGACGGCAAGGGCAGTTGTCTGTGTTGAAGGTGGGGTTGCGATGCAATCTGAGGGTGGGCAGAATTGATAGTGATGGAAGGTCTGAATGGTTGTGAGGGTGCAGCACTGAAAGAAAGAGGCGAGGGGTGTGTCAAAGGGACCGGAGCTCGAGGTATCTGGACTGGGGCCTGTGCAAAAGCTCCCATTCCCTGTGTCATTGCATGAGGCATCTGAGATGGGTGCAGTTGTTCACGACGCGCTGCCTGCGTCTGTATTTCATGAAGCTGGGGCTGCCGTCCTGGTGGATACAAGTAACCAGTCGATGGACTAGACTGCACTTGGGGGGAATTTGAGGCAGAATGATAGTACTCACCCACACCAGCTGCGCTCGCGGGTGGTTGGCTAGAGGCCGGATATCCAACGTAGGGTGATGAGACCGGCACAGTTTGTGGCATGGTCTGACCCAGAAGTTTAGGGTGTGGGGAATTGGGGTAATGGACCTGCGTTGCTTGTGTCACCTGTGGTGAATGACATACCTGAGGCGATTGAGCTACCTGAGGTGACTGAACTACCTGGGGTGACTGAGACTGGTCTACCTGGGCTACCTGGGGTGATTGAGGCGGTGCATGGAGTTTGGGAAACTTGAGATACTCCCGATTCAAGTGTTGACGGAGGGTCCGCCTGCTCGTCTCGGTAACCCGACCGTCTAGAAGCCCCGTGTATGATGCCCAGTCATTCCAGAACAACTGCAAGAGCTTTTTGATATATTGCTCTTCATAGAGTCCCCGCGAAATACACATGAACATCACCGCCATCAAGACCGGAGAGTCGACTGTGAACTTTGTCCGGAGCTCATCCACCAGGGGTGGACGAAGGGCCCAGGTATATATACCCTCCCATTCACCTGCTAGACGCTTTAAGAATAGTGGAACCTTAGCGACTGCCTTGTAATACCACGGTTGTGAGATTAAGGTCTGAGGAGACGCTGGGAAATGGGAAAACCCGAAGGTCACTGCATAATCCATCTTTTCATTGTCTTCTAGAAGACGTGCGAGCATGCGAATTCCTGCCTCGGGTGCTCCAAGAAAACCTAGGGTCGTTGGATCAATGCTAGATCGGCAGAACAACTGATGCACCGCCAGATAAAAGGTGTCTTTTTTTTGGATAGCTTGGCGCAGTAGATCAACTCGAGGTAGACCCACGTTCGCAGTGAGCACTTTTTTCTGGTTCAACTCAGATACCAGAGTGTCCAACTGTGTCGACCAGAGTTCCCACTGTCCGTCGTCTGGAACGGGGTTTACAAGGGATGGTCCAGCATCTTGCGGGTGCCCGCCGGGAGATGGCCCTGATGGTTGCTGTGTGGCTTGGGGATTTGTATCACGCTGGGCTCCCACCAAAGGACTCTGGGCTGTGGACTGGCCTTGGGCAGATCCGTTCGGAGGTAGGGCCGAGGTATCTTGTTCCTCATTTCCACGCTGCCTGTTAGCACTGGACCCCGTAGTTTGTGTACCATGCGGGTTTGTATCCCGCTGAGCTTCCACCAAAGGACTCAGAGGTCTGGGCTGGAAGTATTCGTCCGAGGGCAGGGTTGAGGGCGTGCCTTGCCCACTCCCACGCTGTCCATCAGAACCTGGTCCTGTCGTCGGTGTGCCATGCGGGTTTGCAGCACGCTGGGCTCCCACCACCGGATTCTGAGTTCTAGATTGGGGCCGGGAGACTCCTACCGTAGGCAGGGTCGCTGCCATGTGTTCCTCATTTCCACGCTGTGTCTGTTGCCCAGTGGGGGGATGTACGATCCCATCGGAGCCAACTGGGCTGGGGTGAGAATTTGTACTTGGCACTGGCGAAGGGAAAGCCGTCACTCGTGGCGGATCGGGTTTTTTTGCGTTGACAGCCGTGAATCCGGAACGGGGGAAAGGCAGGGTGTCACCCGTAGCAGGGGACATCAAGGGCTCGGCACGTGGAGGCTGAGAGCCTGTAGGAATATCAACGTTGGATGGTTGTCGCGCGCGTATCTGACCCGAGCCCTCCGGACCCATCCAATTCCTCCGCACGCCCCCCAAGAACAAACTCGCGGTCGTGTTGGATTGTCCGATGTTGTCAGCACGAGGAGCGTGCGCTCGGTGAGTTTTTGGCGACATGATTTACCATCGTTGGATATTTGTAGGAGGGCAGGTCTCTTATACGGGACCGTTGTTTGCTCAGGCAACAAAGACTTAAGCGCCGGTGATATATCCTTGCAGTGTGAAAAGAGGAAGAGGAACAAGATTACGAAATTACCGTTAAGACACAGCTAGCTTACCTTGGTACCTGTGAACAAACCTTGGATGGAAAATCTAAGGGCGTTACTAAGTTATGGAGTTATGTTCATAAGAAGTAGTGACTCGTAACTGCGAACTTGGTAAGTTATTGTAAGTTATTTGTTTGCCGCACATTTGCAAGTAATTTGGGCACATAATAGCGTTAGTACTTTATTTAGTACTTTGTGCAGTTATCAGGGAGGGAATGGCCGGATTCATCGTGACGAGAACAGAGAAATAAGCCGATGCATATACAATTAAGTGGCAACCTTACTAGTACCTCAGATGTAGCTCGGAATACTGCTGTTAATTAAACTAATGTTAACTACTGCAATTACAGGGAAGACAACGACTCATTCGTATCTTACTTGTGCCACCCTCAGCCGTGGATGAATTTAAGCGTCCAGACTCTTTGACGACCGCACACGTCACTTCATTTTCGCCTCTTCTTTTTCTCTCCTTTTCATACTTCTGTTTGTGTCCCCTTTCCATTGGATTGAATTCTTAGATTATTTTGGTCTGATAGATCCAAGGCCTCGAGTGTTGGCATCGAGCAAGCATTGAGCAAGCATCGAGGTTCGTGCTCCCCGAGCCCCGCCAGCGTTTAATAACCTAATCCCCGAATGCGCTAGATTCCTCGACCTCAACATTCTCTCCCCTTTCCCACATTGCTCTAAGATTCCACGTCTGTTCCCGGTATCTCATCTGTTTTCCCGCGAGGGCGCTCGCGCCCGTTTTGCGACATTCGACCTTAATCTCGCCTCGCCTTATCTTCCGAGCTCACTCGCGCGATCGGAGAATCGACACACATTAAGAAATGGTTACTATGGGACCGCCCCGGGGCCTGAGCCCCGGTGATATGCTGGAAGTCATTCGTAAGTGACGTCTTGTGCGACGACGGCGCGCACGCGCCCAGTCTCTCGCTTGCCTCAGAGGGGCGCGCTAACCCTCGGATCTAGATGGCTTCAATGGACGGGGAGAAGATGAACTGGTCATGGCACCGCGTGATCGGATTGAATTGGTGGAGTTGGACGACGAGTTTGGCGATGCGTGGTACCTGGGCAAAAATCTGAGCACGGGGAAAACAGGTCTTTTTCCGGCCAGTATGTGCATGATTGAGCGTGAATCGTGGAGAAGCGAAAGCTAACATGCGCGACAGACTTCACCAAAGCGTGCACTCCTAAGAAGAGCCTGGCCGAATCGCCCGTGCTTTTAGAATCACCGGCGCAATTGGAATTTGCGAGCGCGACAGATTCATCATTCGCCTCGATGGGGAGTGGGCAGTCCACTCCTCAAGCCTCACGACATGTGAGCACCGCCGATATGCAATCGCCGCAACTTGATTCTCCCACCCAACAACGATCCGCCTCATCTCCGCTGCCTCGGCCCAGCCTGGCAGCCGACATCCAGCAAGCGTTCCGCAGCCCTATCGGCAATCACGTGAATGGGGAAGAAAGCCCAGTGATGAATGAGACGTTGAGCGTCATCGATGAACACATTACGGATATGAACACCCCGCGCCATAGTGTATCGACTCAAGACCACAAGCCCATCAATGATTCAGGAAGCGAGTATAGCAGCCATCTTGATCATCGGGCTTCTTATATCAATGGACAGGAGACTGATGATGAAGAGAGGAACCTTCCCAGTGAGCAGCAAGTGCGGAAATGGGGTCAAGCAGAAACTGCCAGACACTTGCGTGCGCTCGGTATTGATTCCAACCACTGTGATATCTTTGAAGAGCAGGAAATCACGGGAGATGTTCTTCTTGACATGGATCAGGATTTCATTTTTATGAAGGAATTCGAGTTCGGTGTCATGGGCAGACGCCTGAAAACATGGCACAAGATCAAAGCCTTCCAAGAGGATATTAAGGGCTTTGGTCAACAGCAAGGCCAAAGAGGCTCCGTCTCGAGCATCTCGGGCCCTCCGGAGGAGCGCTCGTTGTCTCGCGCGGGACACACTGGCCCACTTCTCCCCCGGATTCCAACGCTGTCAGAAAAGCACGGCTCAGGGTATCAACATCCGCGGGCCACTGCTCCGACACAGCACCCACGACTGGCGAGCAATAATAGCTCGCCTATAACTCCTCCATACAGCCATGACTCCCCGAGGAGAATTTCTGCGGCATCAATTCGTGATCTTAATCATACGCGTCGTCATTCGTCCATCGACGCCACCCATCGTGGCATGCCCGATGGTTTCAGTGCTCATCATCAAAAGAAGCCATCGTTTGACCGTTCTTGGACTCTCAATTCCGGTTCGCAGACAATGCCCGCTCGCCCAGGAACATCCTTGGGTACTTCAGGCTTTCGAGGACCGCTGACTACCGACTCGGGCTCGTATACCAATTCTTACACCACCACCCCTGATCAGATTGATGACTTGGATCGGGGTTACTTCTCGGGGACCGAAGTTGACAGTCGCCGGAATCGTCGCGTTCTACAAAAACGCAGTTCTACCAATGGCAGCGTGGGCCATTCACGAAAGTCGAGCTATGCTGACGAACCGTATCGGGTCAAAACCGCCGGAAAGCGCCACTCTCGTATTGGCAGTGCTGATTCAATCCGCGACGCAGCAAAGCATGTTTCCCCTGCTGCTCAAGCTTACCATGGCACGCCACCGAAGAGTCGACTGCGAAGCTTGAGCACTCGTGTCTCGGGAAGTGGAACCAGCTCCCAGTCTCCAGCTACTGAAGGCAAGACAGGCGGATTCTTCGCCAACTTTGCCCCTCGGAGCAAGACTGATTCCGACGGTAGTGCTCGCTCCTCTACATCTCAGTTCCAACCATTGAAGAATGCCGGCCCCAAGTTCCGGCGGGCAATGGGCCTTCGTGCTATCTCCGATGTTGTTGGAAAGAAAATTGACACCTCTGCGCCTGTCTCGCCGCGCGAATACGACCCCACTTCCGCGCGCACCGGATCCACGACTCCATCGGCGACGTCGAAGAGCTCGGAACGGCATAGCACAGATGGGTCTGGCAAGGTGACTGACCCCAACGGATTCCAAATTCGCCCTCGGACCGTCAAGTCCAAGAAAGAAACCAGCGCCTATACTCGCGGTCTTGAGAAGAAGACCCCAGAGGAGCAGATGGATGGCTGTGAATATAGTGGATGGATGAAGAAGCGATCTTCCAACTTGATGACGACTTGGAAGCCCCGTCTGTTTGTCCTCCGTGGTCGTCGCTTGTCCTACTATTATTCCGAGGACGATACCGAGGAAAGAGGCTTGATTGACATCACCGCCCACCGCGTCCTCCGAGCGGACCAAGATCCTATAATTGCCCTGCATGCGACTATCACCGGCTCAACCGCACTGCCTGCCAACGCCAATGCCAGCAACACCGCTGAAGACGGCACCAATGGCACGAAGCTCATCTCCCCCTCGGTAATTCAGTCCCTCACCAACAAGGACGGCAGTGGACCGTTCTTCTTCAAACTCGTGCCTCCCAAGACAAACAACTCGCGCACCGTGCAATTCACCAAGCCCGCCACCCACTACTTCCAAGTCGATAATGTCCAGCAAGGTCGCTTGTGGATGGCTGCCCTGATGAAAGCAACCATCGAGCGCGATCTGGGCCAGGCCGTGGAAAGCACCAACAAGCAAAAGACCATAAGTCTGAAACAAGCCCAAGCCATGAACCAGCGGCCGCCAGAGCTGATGTCCGCTTCCTCTAAAGCCAAAGCAGAGCAAACAATCGATGAGGAAGAGGAAGAGACTGGCCTACAGATCGATGGCCTCAACCTGTCCAACGCCCAGTCCTCCGATGCCAACTCGTTCGAAGACGCCAAGGTCAGCCTGGACGAGCCTGATCAGAATGGCACTGATAAACCCCCACTGGATCGCCTTGGAGACCTGGGTTCTCCCATGCTCCCCGATCCCCTGGCCAAGGCGGAATCCAAGTGAATACGTTTTTACTCGATTCTATTTTCTTTGTGATCTTTCTTGCATTTATGTCATTTGACAGCTATTTCTTGCTATTTACCTAACCTACCCTACCCCCTTGATGCTCTGCTTTTGTCATTTCTCGCTTTATGTTTCCCTTTTGCTGGCGTTCGATGTGATATACCCCTCGCTCAGACTTCTTCCTCTTCTTTGACTCGGGTCACTTTCCCTAGCGGGTACTTTGGCCACGAGGGATGTGCGATTATACGATTGATTTGCTTATGGATACGAAGTTGAGTTTGTGCTGGCTTGGTAGTGAGCGTCTTCTTTGCCCTAATTACGTATTTTGTAGATATATTGCCCTAATAGTATCATTTTCGGTCCTATATTCTCTTTCTAGGTGATTTTGCGCCGCCGGGCTGAGGAGTATACTTGAGAGGTATAAGGATGTTGATCACGCATATTTCAAGCATTTTTCTAGAGAATGCAATATTATCAAATATTGAATCACTCAATGCTGCTCTGAAATACCTTTCGAAGATCTTCGGCCCTTGCATGTTTATAGTGTCGCGTTATCGTTATCGATCAGCCATGTCACTCCAATTTGTTCCCTTCTCCTTTCCTCTCCAACCTCCTGTCTATTGTCCACGATGCTGTATATGTTCTTATAACATTATTATCCTTTACTGTCATTTTAATAAAACCCCCCATGTCCCTCCGGTGGCTGCTGTCGCGCACACTTGCGATCCTCCTCCCACTCACAGTCACCGCCACTGTTTACCTCTATTTCTACCCAGTCTTCGACGGCTGCGCCTTTCCTCTACCAAGATCTCACGCCTCTGAATCGGAACCAAAGTCATCAATAAGACAATTCCACCAAAACGCCGTTCTAAACACCTTCCTCCAACACCTCGGCATCTCACCCTCAACCCCAGACCCAAGCACCGAACCGGCGATCTTCAGACTCCTAGTCCTCGCAGACCCCCAATTAGAAGGCGACACCTCCCTCCCATTCCCGGAATATGAACTATACCCACGCATACAAACCCACTGGCGAGCCGTCCAAGAAGCAATCGGCAATGCAACCACAACCACCCCCAAAACTTCATTTGCACAAGCCCTCCTAAACGAAACCGTCCTTTCAAACATAACAACCAGCCTGCGCGAACTAGCAACAGAAGATATCCCACGCGCCTTCAAATCCGCCCTGAAACGCCTCGACCTCTTCGGAAACGACTTCTACCTCGCGCACATCTACCGCACGCTATTCTGGTGGACGCGCCCAACACATACAACCGTCCTCGGCGATCTGGTGGGCAGCCAATGGATTTCGAATGAGGAGTTCGCTTGGCGCGGATACCGGTATTGGAATCGTGTGTTCCATGGCGGAGAGCGCGTGGACGATAACCTCACGCGGACTGGTGCTGTTGGTGCGAGTAGTAAGGATAAAGCTGCGCCGCCGGTGGAATTGCTAGGTGTGGATGCGGACCCGGCTTGGGCGAGGCGGGTTATTAACATTGCTGGTAACCATGATATTGGCTACGCGGGTGATATCGACGAGGCGCGCATGGAACGTTTCGAGCGTGTGTTTGGTCGTGCGAATTGGGATGTCCGTTTTGAACATTCTCCTGTGAATGTATCAGTCTCGGCTGGAGAGGGTTCCTCCTCTTCTGCGCGGGAATCGGTTGTTACGCCTACTCTGCATCTGATCAACCTCAATTCTCTCATGTTTGATACTCCCGCGCTCTCTTCAGTTGTTCAAGACCGGACTTATGCTTATCTGAACGAGCTGATTTCTCACCGGCTTGCGCCAGTTGAGGACCGGTCAGCGTTTACACTTCTTCTGACGCATTTGCCTCTCCATAAACAAGATGGCATCTGCACTGACGGTCCTTACTTCTCGTTCCACGAGTCCGAAGATGATGACGGTCCCGATGGAGTCCCCCGTTGGCGTGAAAGCGGTCTCAAGGAGCAGAACCATATCAGTGATACACTCAGCGCTGGCGGTATCCTGCAGGGTATCTTTGGAATGAGTGGCGATGAGCGTGCACCTCTCGGTGGACAAGGTCGGAATGGGCTTATTCTTACGGGGCATGATCACACTGGCTGTGATGCTGTTCATTATGTCAATCGTACTTCCAAGGAAGTAGGTGATGACCAAGAGCAAAAAGAGGAGGATCAGAGTACCAATAGTCCTTCTCAGTCTTGGAAGTGGGCTGCCAAACGCTATGAGGAGAACCAGCAGATCAACAGTCCTTCTATTCGGGAGGTGACTCTTCGCTCGATGATGGGTGAGTTTGGCGGTAATGCCGGTCTCCTCTCGGCGTGGTATGATCAGGCTGTTGGCGAGTGGAGCTACGAGATCACTATGTGTCCTGCCGGGGTACAGCATATCTGGTGGGCTGTCCATGTTCTTGTGCTTGTGACGCTTGGTGTCGCGCTGGTTTGGTTCCTACTTGGATTTGTTGCCTTTGGTAATGATGGAGCGAGAACAGATGCTCGTTCGCAATCTGACAGGAAGGAGCAGAAGCTGCGTCCGCAGGAGTCTTCAAATGTACAGTCGGAAGAGCCGAAGACAAGAGGACAGAAGAAATAGTTGATTGGTGAGCTTGTAGATATGTTTTGGTTTACTGTATCAATATCACCATTATTAGACCCATGGAGTAAAATATACTTTGTCGTGGATATGTATCGTGTTGCATCTAGGCCTTGTCCAACATATATTTGCAAGACCTGTGTTATAAATTAGGGCAAGTCACACAGTATAAATGTTGACAGACCAGGTCATGGTAAGCCAAGTACAAACTACAATACGTCCATATCTACAATCTACGACAGGACAGGTACATCGCCATTTGGTAGTCATATCAGAGTTCATAAATCTGCTCGATCCCAAGAACAACGAAAACAACCACACACAAAGGACCAAAAAAACCAAGCAACAAGCCGGTTTCTCTCTAAGCGAAGATTGTCAAGCAGCCGACGTCTCTCGAATGAAGATAAAGATGCGCAAAGGAAGACTAGGCAATTGAAAAAGTGATATGATTTTTTTCAAAAGTAATACTTCCGAGGTCGCCAGTAAAGGGAGAGAGGGGGAGGGAGAAAACACGAAGATGGAAGGAATAAAACCGGCTTGAAAATAAACACAGTTGGATTTCGTCGTCAAAATGGACACCACCTGTCCACTATCCCATTTTAATCCTATGGTCTCATATGCACCGCGTTCCAGGTCCCGAACAGATTTGAGGTTTGGTATCGTTCTTTTTCTTTAAAATTCGGCTTTTGCTCTCTTTACATGACGACACCAGAGTTGGAGGCAATACGCTGTCAGATAGGTTAGCTTGATGGTCTGATGGGAGGGAATGGTGCATGACAAGGTAACGGATAGATATGATCCATTTCCAAGCAGCAGATAAATGGGTGTGAACGTACAGGCCAAAGCTCAGCAGCCTCCTTTCCGACGGGACCGGTGATGGCGGAACCCTTCATCTCACCCTTGGCGTTGACGATAACACCTGCGTTGTCCTCGAAGTACAGGTAGATACCGTCGGGGCGGCGCCAGGGCTTGCTCTGGCGGACAACGACAGCGGGCATAACCTTCTTACGGAGCTCAGGCTTTCCCTTCTTGACGGTGGCCATGACCATGTCACCAACACCGGCGGCGGGGAGACGGTTCAGGCGGGCACCGATACCCTTGACGGAGATGATGTACAAGTTGCGAGCACCGGAGTTGTCGCAGCAGTTCATCACGGCGCCACTATTCGACGAAAAGGGATCCGTTAGTGTTCTGTTTCTCTTCCATTATTGTTGTGCCGTGTTCCCCATGCTGAATGGAAACTGTGGGATAGAGATCCAATTTTTTTTTGGTTTCCTCGATGTCCGCCGGTCTTTGGTTTCTGTCGATGCTGGTTGTATCGAAACATATTGATCGACGAGACGACTGTGGGATCCGGCGGACATGGAAGCGCATTCGAGATACACTAGACGATAAGAAATTTGAAGACGTACCAGGGCAGACCGAGAGTCATCTTCAGCTTGTTGCCGGCGGCACCGCCACGACTATTCAACCGTTAGCAAGACCGTTCTTTTCTGCCGTGTTCGTTTCCATCCTGGCGCCATTCTATCCTCTCGACACAAGGTGGATGTCCAACAAATTTTCGATCTTCCCCGCAGGATTGTGTCGTTCGGAATCGAATGGATCCAAGGAATGAAGTTGCTGGTAAACTCACCCTCTCTTAGACATGATGGCTAGGTATCACGGGGACGAAGTTGGGTGAAAAGGGTTGGCGACAAGAGGTCGAGAGTTCCGGACGACGAGGTTCCAAACTGGAGGTGTGCTTTCTCGCTTAGTGGGCAAAGTGCGTAAAATCTTGGCGCTGCTGTTTGATTGGTGGGCTGGCTCCATCGCCGTGCCCTAATGCTAACCCAATTTGGGCTAGCGGCAACTACCGTCTTTCGGCCTCAGGCACCAATAACATCTTTATCCCTTTAACTTTAGAGCTAATGTACTCTACTATGAGCATGGCGACTGTTTTGGAATATTTCACTCGTCATATTGCATTCATAAAGGTCAGGGGGAAATAAAATAAAAAACAGACACGGGGAAACGATCAAGATAAAACAATTCCTTCTCAAAGTTGAGCTGCCATTGTAGAAGCAGCCCGCTAAACAAAGTCAACACTTTCCATGAAGACGTGTAATGTGAGATGCTCAATCCAATTCAACCCGATTGCCATTCCGCCACGAGTGATGATGCCCCCAGTGTCAAGCAAGATGCGAGCACGCTGTAAACCGATAACACCTTCTGCCATTGTCCGTTGCGCCAGATCCGATATTGTCATCTTGTATCACAGCTTATTACTCCTCTTTCTTGAGATCTTCGGTAGATGCTGGTTTCTCCTCCTTGGTAGCGTTGGTGTCCGCAGCGGGCGCAGAAGCCTCGGCTGAGGGCACCTCGGCCTTCTCACTGGTAGGCTCGGCAGCCTGCCTTAGAGGAGATTGAATTCGGGCAGGGGAAGGGGTGGAGCCCTGAGCGGGAGAAGTTTCCTCGGTCTTCTTACTATCACCCTCAACTGGTGCCTGCTCCGAGGCAGTAGGTCCGGCGACAGCATCTTCCATCATTGTATCTTCGTCATTAAGCGCAGGGGACTGGAGCTGGGATGTAGTCGAGGCTCCTTGTTCCTCAGTCTCTAACATCATACGATCAGCATCAGTCGCAGGAGTATCCTCTGCTCGAGGGGCAGTGGAAGTCGCCTCGGGCTCCGTTCGGGGAACATCAGCCATCTGCGCATCAAGCGTGGAATCCATTTCACCTTCGGCTGCAGACGAGGCGTCTTGTGGGGTGGCCATGCCACTGTCTAGCCCGGAGTCCGGCTCAAGGTTACGGTAGTTGACCTGGTTGCGGCGGCGAATGGCACCTGGCTGACGACGAACGCCGTTGGCAGCGTTCTCCTCTTCGTCCTCGCTGTCGCTCAGCTCACCAGCCTTCTCGGTGTATTGATCAAAGCGTCGTTGGGTAAACCGCTTGTCTTTGTTCTCATCTTCATCAAGGTCATCCATAACGTCATCGGCCTCGTCGTCCATACCGTCCAAGATCGGGTTCCGTGGCACATCTGTCATCTGAACTGAAGGAGCAAATGCCGTGCGCTTGAGATTCTCGACGACCTGATTGCGAATCTTATCGAGATATTCTTTGGTGTTCGCATTGTCCATATTGGAGGGCCGGACATCAAGCTCATAATCAGGTGCAAAGTACTAAGCTTGGTTAGCATCAACTCGTCCATAACAGGAAATTTTCTCTTACCTCGTAATAATCGTTGTAGGGCAGCTCCGATTCAAGACCTTCTCCAACCAGAATACCCGTCTCATAAGCCCATGTGCGTGCCACGTTACGCATGGTGTAGCCACCGCCGCCAAGAATCAAGGTTGGTAGATCAAAGCTCTTGATGAAGTTGACGCAGTTGGCGTGTCCACGCATACTCAAGTTGAAGCAGCCCAGACGATCACCGGAGAGACTGTCACCACCGCACTGCAGGACCACTGCCTCCGGGCGGTACCACTCCATAACACTCTTAATGACAGGCTCAAAGATGCTCTTGTACGAGGTGTCATTAATACCATCGCGAAGAGGGAAGTTGACTGCATAATGCTTGCCCTGGCCGACACCGATGTCGCGGAGCTCACCGGTACCCGGGAAGTACTCGCCATACTTGTGGAAAGAAACCGTCATGACACGATCAGTCGTGTAGAAGGCCTCTTCGACGCCATCGCCGTGGTGAACATCAATATCGACATAAAGAACACGCTGCTTGAAACGCAGCAGCTCAAGAATTCCGAGAACAATATCTGCCAGGTGTTAGTCCAATTACAAGGGCATATTAACTTCAAACATCTTACCATTGACGTAACAGAAGCCACTTGCTTCACTCTTCTTGGCGTGGTGCAGACCACCAGCCCAGTTAACAGCAACATCGCACTTGTTGCGGTTCAGTCGTGCAGCACCTTCCATACTGCCCCCAGCGCTAATTCCGCAGAACTCAAACAGACCGTCGAAGACGGGGCAATCGTCACCCACGTTGTACCGGCTTTGTTCTTTTGAAAATTGATCCATGTTATCTGGCGTAACCTTGGAGAGGAAATCGATGTACTCGTCGGTGTGGAATTGGGTCATTTCATACTTTGACGCAGGTTTGGCGCGCTGGGATATTTGCGCGTTAGCAAGGATAAGACAGTTAAGTAGAATAAGAGGTAAGACTCACGTAGATCTCCATCTTCTTGTAGAGACCATAGTTCATAACCAGGCTGTGTGTCATACGAATGCGATGGGGCTTCATGGGGTGGCCCGAAACGTAGGCATAGTTGCCCACATCAGAGTCGTAGAAGTAGGCGACCTTCTTGTTCTTGGACCCGAGGAGGCCATTGGAGATAGGTTCCGCAGCCATGTCGCAAGATGACCGAGAAATAATCAGAGAGTTGAGAGGCGGGTTTCGAGAAATGCAGGATTTGGAGAATGGGGTAGGAAGGTAGGAAGTATGCGGTTAGGAGAATTGAAGGCGCAATGCGGAGATACTCCCAAGAGAGCAGATTGCAAAACGGCACCCGGTCACCGGAACAAGGTGAATAGTAGACAGCAGGACTAAACACAAAGGTAAGCCAATTCTGTCATAGTCGAACTCGGCAAGTGATGGGGAGAGACAGAGAGAATCACCGCGTGGGAAGGAGCCAAAGCCGACAGAAACCCTCACCGCCTTCGTCAGGCAAAGCTACCACTGCTTGCTCATCATCGACACGTCTCCGACACTTTCCTATCTTTCTGGCTTCTGGTGAATATTGCAACATCCGTCTAGTCTTCACTAGTTCTATTTAAGAGTTCTCCCCCCAAAGAGTCTTTACCAGTTCAAGCCGCCGAAGAAACTCGACCGCCCCGGAGCTTCCAACTAGGAAGCTACGTCTTGTCCTCTCGTTTCATCAAGTCTTGTCCGGTCTTACTTAGAAACCATGGATCGCCTTAACCGGATGCTCCAGGCTGCCCAGGGCATGGGCATGGGTGGTGGTGCCCCGGGTGGTGTAAGTCAGACGATTACCCCGATCTCGCTAAGTGTCTATCTTTTGAAGCTCCTTGTTGGGCCGCATCATTGTCGCAGAATCAGCTTTACCCTCAATGCACTTAAGCCACGCAGTACTAATGGGTTTTATTCTAGGACACACCGAACCTGATTGATAACTCCGAAACTGTCCACATCTCTTCCCTGGCTCTGCTCAAGATGCTACGACACGGCCGTGCAGGTGTTCCAATGGAAGTCATGGGTCTGATGCTAGGCGAGTTCGTCGATGAGTACACAGTTCGGGTTGTGGATGTTTTTGCCATGCCCCAGAGCGGTACTGGTGTCAGTGTTGAGGCCGTGGACCCTGTGTTCCAGACCAAGATGATGGAGATGCTCCGGCAAACGGGACGGTAAGTTATCAACACCAATCATTGGATTATACGGCGCTAATTTAATACCTGCACAGGCCAGAAACTGTTGTTGGCTGGTACCACTCGCATCCTGGTTTCGGCTGCTGGCTCTCCTCGGTCGATATCAACACTCAGCAGTCCTTCGAACAGCTCACACCTCGTGCCGTTGCCGTTGTCGTCGATCCCATCCAATCAGTGAAGGGTAAGGTCGTCATTGATGCGTTCCGTCTCATCCAGCCTCAAACCGTGGTCATGGGCCAGGAGCCCCGCCAGACCACATCCAACTTGGGTCACCTCAACAAGCCTTCGATTCAGGCTCTCATTCACGGCCTCAACCGCCACTACTACAGCATTGCGATCGATTACCGCAAGACAGGATTGGAGGAGAACATGTTGATGAACCTCCATAAGCACGTATGGACCGAGGCCTTGGACATGAGTGACTTCCACGAGGAGGGTCAGCACAACGTGGAGCGCATGAAGCAGCTTGTTCTCCTTGCCGAGGGCTATGAAAAGCGCATCAAAGAAGAGACCGAGCTGAGTAAGGATCAGCTGAAGACAAGATATGTCGGCAAGGTCGACCCCAAGAAGCGTAAGTCCCCGTGTCATAACTACTGTGACCAAATAACTAACACTTTCTAGACATCGAGGACGTGAGTCAACAGTTGATCGAAGATAACATTGTCGCCGTCTCGAGGCAGATGATTGACAAGGAAGCTTCCGTGGCCCGGCAATCATCGTCCAAAGACAACAGTAACGGTGCTGTCATGGAAGTGGACGAAGATCTCTAAAGGATTAGAAAGTGGACAAATGCTACAGAAACGCTCTAATTACGATATCTTGGTTTCCTTGGAGGACTGACTGCATGGGTTTATATGTACGAATTGCATGCCATTTGACCTAGCACACTATGTAGACCATCAATGAACGAAATCCACTCAAATGTCTCCAAGTAGGTAGCTTTTAATACTAGGTGGAACTTCTTTCTGTCATGTTGCAATTCTGTAATTCTTCCATCGTTAAGTCAAGGAGTATAGTCAGTTGCGCCGTTCTATTTAATCCATGTGCGCCACGCAATGTATATAAAAAAAGTCGTAAGCTAATATGTGATGTAGACAATTCCCGCTAATTCAGACTATCATGATTTCAAAGTGACAGTTTGAAGAGAGTTGGCCAAGCCCTCAATGGATTCAGGATGGTGAGCACGGAGTCCATCAAAGGCAGCATCTGCGTCATTATTGTCGTGTTTCTTGTGATGATCGTCGTCGTAATCCGTCCATCCTCTGTCAGGGCCCCAGAGGACCTTCTTCTGCGCATGCCGAGTTTCCGCAAGCAAGCGCGCCATCAAAGGCCCATTCTTCTCCACGGAGGGCCACGCATCGAATTCAACCTGGACCAAACCAGGTAGCCGTTCCAGTATCTTCTGCAGAAGTTGTCCGCAGAAGTCTGTATAGTAATCCTTGGAGATGCGGAAGCCCTCGAACACAGGGTGGGACGGGTCACACTGCACGAACACCTTGAGCGTGCGTGCAAGCTCCATGTCGTGTAACCCTAATCCCTGATTCACGATCCAGCTCCGCGGTGGCGCAGTCCAGCTTGATCCCACAATCAGCTCGATGGTTGTGATGGAAGGGCGGTGGCGACGGGGCAAGGCGCGGAGTGTGGGCATCTTCAAGAAATCCTGGACTGGAAATACTCGGAACGTCTGCGTCGAGTAGAAGTAGTGTGTGGCTTCATCGTGGACTTTCCGAGAGACGAGGAATAGGGCAACACGTTGTGAGGATGGCGACAATGGCTTGCTCTTCTTTGCGGAGGCTCCGACGTTGCCAGTGCGCTGTAATGCACTCTTCCGAGTTGGTGTGAATAGGACAAAATGGTAGATGCGTAGGCGGATCTCGGAGGGCAGCTCGAACAGAGGAAATGACCGTAGACGAGGAGGGAAATCTGGCTCAGCCTCGATATCTGAGAGTATTTCCTCCTCGAACTGGAGCTGCTTCTTCTTCAACCCCATGGCGGATGTGTATATTCTATGCGACAGGTCTAGATTTGGAGTTCATATTTCATCCCATTCTTTTATGGTAGGCAAGTTGAGCAAAAATGACAAAAAAGTTCAAAGAAAAAGGATTGTGTCCCACAATCGGAGCGCAGCTTCACTGGAGAAAACCTTTGCTGCGCTCTTGGTAAGTGGGATAGAAGAATATCTTCGTTTGTCTCCCCAGCTCATTCAACCCGGCATGCAGAGAGAATGTGCTTGATAGGTCAAATTATGTCTGGGTGAACTTTCTAATAGAGAAAAAGAAAAAGAGAAATCGCGAAGTCCGCGGCGATCGATATAAGCAAAGTGCGCAAGGGGATCGTGTCCGCTGCCGTACCGAATCGCGCCGACTTTTAACGGCAAACTGCTTCGATTACACCTACTACACTTGTTGTCTCCCACCTTCACAATGCTCAGTCGCGCCGTTCTGCCTCTGACGAGGCCAAACGTTCTCGCATCTGCCGTCCGGGCATCGACCCTGTCGGCGCGGTCCTCTCCATATGCCGCCTACAAGCTTTCCCCGGGTATCCAGCAACGGGCGAAGTCATCAAAAGCGAAGAAGACACCCCAGGCCCCGGCCCCGGAACCCAAGGAGTTTGCTGCCGAGCAGCCCGAGTTCGACACAAAGGCTGAGCCCAAGGCCGCCGAATCATCCGGCACTGTGAGATGACAATTGCATCCAAACATATGTCAAGAACACCCCTCTGACTCTCGTCCCTTTAGCCCGAACCCGAACAGACATCCCAGAAGCCTCTCCCCGATCTCACACAAGGTATCCCATCGACCCTGGCTGCTGAACTCGAAGGTCGCATGAAGAAGGGCCCATTGAACCTTACAGAAGACCCTACTCAGTCAGAAGAGTACAGCGAGGAAGGCAAAGGTGGTGGTGACATCCCCAAGGGCGGCTATGAGACATCCCTCGACCGCCGCAAGGCCCGCATGGCCAACATAATGTATGCCGCGATGCTGCTTGCCGGTGTCGCAGGAATGGGCTACCTGGGCCGCAACTGGGACACGGAAGAGGAGGAGCGGGTTCACCCCGAAACCCCATCAGGATGGGGCCTGGGTCTCTGGTACAACCGTATCAAGGCTCGCATGAGCGATCTCACCAGCTACTACAAGGACCCTGCTTTCCCCAAGCTTCTTCCGGATGAGGACCCCGAGATGCGTCAGCCCTACACTCTTGTGCTCAGTTTGGAGGATCTTCTGGTTCACAGCGAGTGGAGCCGTGAGCATGGATGGCGCGTAGCCAAGCGCCCTGGCGTCGACTACTTCCTCCGTTACCTGAACCAGTACTACGAACTCGTCCTTTTCACCAGTGTGCCCAGCATGATGGCCGACCAGGTCCTCCGCAAGCTGGACCCTTACCGTATCATCCGCTGGCCTCTGTTCCGTGAGGCTACCCGCTACAAGGATGGAGAATATATCAAGGTAAGCCGAATAGCCTCTCTAGGTAAGATGCAGTGCTGACTTTCTCAAGGATCTTGCCTACCTCAACCGTGACCTTTCCAAGGTGATTCTCCTCGACACAAAGGAGGAACACGCCCGCTACCAACCCGAGAACGCCATCATCCTAGACAAGTGGACCGGTGACCCGAAGGATAAGGAGCTTGTCGCCCTGATCCCCTTCCTGGAGTACCTCGCCGGCATGGGTGTCGAGGACGTGCGTACTGTGCTGAAGTCGTTTGACGGCAGCGCCATCCCGGCAGAGTTCGCCAAGCGCGAGAAGGCCATGCGTGAGCGCTTCGAGAAGGAGCTCGCAGAAGAGCGGAAGAAGAAGCCTAACCGCGGCCTGGGCAACTTCGCCTCCGCACTTGGCCTGAAGTCCGCCCGCACCCTGGACGGCGAGACAACCCCCTCGGAGGGTCTGGCTCAGGGCAAGATGCTCTGGGATCAGATCCGCGAGCGTGGCCAGAAGAACTACGAGATGGTCGAGGCTGAGATCCGTTTGAACGGTGAGAAGTGGCTGGCTGAGATGGCTGCTGAAGAGGAGAAGGCCCGTCAGGAGCAGATGCAGAGCATGAAGGGCTCTTTCGCTGGCATGTTCGGTGCTGGCTCTAAGGAGCAGTAATCGGCGCAAGCCACCTCTTCCTACGTGGGGCATCTAGCTTCCATCATCTCCCATTCTCCATCTTCTTCAGTATCTTCTTCCTTTTACTTCTTATTTACGGGCAAGGAGCAGGTCATTAGATGGTTCATGGGGTTCGTTCTGAGCATATTCTTTTTTGGAACGACTGTAAAATAGCGATTCTGTCTGTTTCTTGGCACGATGTACAAAATATTGGTCAGAAGTTTTAATATGAGAAAGACTGAGATTGATAATGTTGCATTCCTTCTGCTGGTTGGGCTCACTCTGGGTCCCAGGGTATATATAGATAAAAAAAACAAGCCAGAAACGATCTCTACAAGTACATGTGCAATGGTTGTGTCAGATTTCCCAATCTCATGTCAGCCCCGAATATCACGTCAGATTCACATCTTGGTTCACATCTTGGAAAACGGAGACATCCCAGATACCTGTCATATCGAAGGGGAAACCATCCATTGTTCCAAAGGTATTAGAGATCGACATCATATCGTCGACGATGTCGTTGTTTGTTTGTGTCTCTGGCAGTGAAATCGCGGCTGGGTTGACCAGCCCATTATCTGCCATGCTGTTCGTGAATGCTTGATCCATTGTAGCGCCAGTTCCGGGAAGTCGGTGCATGATGCGTTCGCAGTGGTCGAGACACATGTCTGCTACATCCCAGTCTTCTTCTTCCCGTACGCGACGCAAGACTGTGCGTAGGGTCTCTACATTGGCGAGACATGATCGTGCAACCTCGCTGTCGGTGGTTTCGAATGCACAGCGAACCAATAAAGTGGCTGTCGATGTGAGGTGGAAGGCACTGTCTGTAGTAATTGTTAGAAATCTGGAGGCGATGAACTGTAGCAGGGCTGCAACATACAAGGTAACCAGAACTCTTTGAAGTTATCTGTTCGCAGCGAGGTCATGAACCCAACAATTTCCTCTGCAGACCTTCTGCATTCTGTCTGGAAATAACGGCGGGCCTCGGGGTTATCCGTTTCAGCATTGTTGACCTCCTGCTACTTTGTTAGAAATGAGTTCTTAGGGGGATTCTGTTGTGTTGCTTACATTCAGTTCAACGCGGCTGACAAGCATTTTGACAGCCAAGAAAGCAAGTTGTAAACTGCTTGCTCCGTAGATACGTTCCCCAGGATGCACTGCTGGCCCTCTCAACCAGGTTGGCAATGAGTCTTCCCACATATCGAGATCGGTCCGGATCTGTCTCAGCTTCTTGGATGTCTCGCGCGCTGGCTTATGTTGCAAGCCATAGACCAGTGGTAATAGCTCGCCCAAGGTCTCCGTCAATCGGCAAAGATAGATGTGGCAATGCGCTGCTCTCACGCGCTCTGTGGAACGGACGTGTGATGGGACTATAACATCCACAGTTGGTAAAGGCACATCGTATTGGTTCTTGGAAATCTGAGGCGGTACACCATGACCGAAACTTCCCCTTTAAGATGTTAGATACGTGCACACGGGAGATGTACCTTAGAAACTTACCAACGATCGTGGATGACTACTCCCCACCAAAGACGAATCCGCTGGTCCTTCTCTGCCTGGGAAAGTTTCCAATTGCTAGGATCGCGATTCAAGCCAAGACAGTTTGCCAAAGACAGCATCCGGCCACAACTGACGGCATTTCCGGTCATCGAGAAGATGGGTCGTCCAGTCAGGTCGATAAGCGCCGCGCTGATAGTTGATAATCCGGGGGCTGAGAAGTCCTCATGTAATGCGGCGACGGTCATGTTCACCGCATACCGAACATCAGGTTTCGGGTGGCAGGCTAGTTTGGGAGTATGTTGCCAATATACCAGGGACATCGAATAGACTTGGCATACTAGCGCAGCGGGAGGGTCGTGTAGATCTTCGGCAATGTAGGACTCCCAAAATGATTCGCCGTCGAATATGGGAAATGAAACATTGAAGCGATCAATGAAGCTGCCATGAAGAAAATCAAGTTAGCATTAAGTGTATATTCAGGGTAGATATCATGAACATACAGTCTCACTAGATCGTGTTTGAACGGTCCTAGGATTTGTTCCAATACTTCCTTTTGATTCTCGCCGGGAGGAGTTCCGACCCGCATACCCTTCCTCCGCCGTGAAATTGTGGTGTAAAGAACTGGCTTCCGTGGGTCGCTCGAGTAGATGTTGTATGGGTGACTCTTGGGTTCTTCCGATTGACTGGCCCGCTCGGGGGGCATATGCTTCTCAATGACTTGTGCATCTTCTGCAACCATAGGTCCAACAATGAGAACAGACTCATTCTGAGGATCATCCATGTCTTTGCGCCGCGAATCGCTTCCTCGGCGACCACCCGACGACGTAGTTCCATGAGGACTGGGCCCGTTGATTGGTTGACGGGCCGGGATATTTTGAGTCGGGTGCGTTGATCCATCGGGACTGCGCTTGCGCTTCTGTCCCGGAAGAGCATCTGAAACTTGAGGCCCTTGCCATGGTTTTGTATCCGGTGCACTCAACACGGAAACATCCGCATTAGCTTCTTCTTGATAGTGGCAGTCGGCCCCCTGCACGCGACACAGAAGGCACGATTGACCGGGGATATCGACGGTGCATCGCGATTTGCGCTTGCGACACAGGTCACAGGCGCGGACCTTGTGAGATCGATATGGTCGAGCGCCGGCGTTGAATCCGGGGGATGGGAGTTTAGAGGAATTGACTTGAACCGTTGCTGGCGACATGATGCGCGCCCAAGTGAAAGAGCGTATATGCCGGCAGGTAGTACAGTGCAACAAAAGATGGCGGTTTGGAGACAAAAGATCCGGTCCGGGGTGTTTTCGGAGTCGGCCGATTAGCGGATGGGCTGGGTGAGGGGTACAAGCACACGGCCGAATGCGCCATAGAAGGGAGGCGAGTATTGGGTTTGAAAGTGTCAATGGCTATGGAAGTGGCCAGAGATGAGTCAGGGCTATGCGCAGCACATCTTGGAATACAATGATCAGCCCCAGTCGTCAAAATCCGGAGAAATCTCATCTTTTCCTTATCGAAGCTAAACTGCACGGGGCATGTGGGGTGCTGACTCATTATGCTAATGTAATACCTGATATAATCAATTATGTGGCCTCAGGCAACAAGGCTATTTTTATCTAGATCGACATCAATTCATTGTTGTAACGCTGGCGTCCCGCATTGCCTCATGGGGCACAGCCGCACAGCCACATAAACTTCGGACGGCATCGACTTCTCAATGCCCACTACGCGCCGATTTAGTAAGTAGTGGTGACCATGGAGGCCTCCTTGCCCGAAGGCTCCCCTGAGTTGCAACACTCTGGTACACCGCCCGACTCTCACGCGTTATTTGATCGGCTCCCAGCCAATGTGATCGAACGGTAAGTTCTCACCTGACCGGGTCCCATATGCCAGCACGTAGCTTGGGTATGTGCTACATGTTCTAACCCGCTTGGTAGCATCCTGTTTGCCGCTGATGCTAATACATTTGCATCCTTGGCTCTTCTAAACCAAAAATGGAAGCATGCATCCGATACCCCAGAACTATATGCACATCACCTATCGCGCTGTCCATCATTTTCTTGGACCCATGGCGCCAATTTCACGGCTGAGACAGAGAGCCTCGCTGATCTCAAACGCCTCTTTATCAAGGAGATAAGACAGAATGCGTACGACGTGTTTTTACGACCTCGGCAGACCCTCGTGAGACTAATTTCAAGTTCTATGAGCTCCTCTACGGCTTTCCCCCAGGGAGAAGTCTTTCGATTTTCATTTTCCGCAAATGGTCAAATAGTCCTATGTATCAGCTCCTCTCGCATTGTGATATTGGACGTGGCATCTGATCCAGTCACCGTTAAGCATGAGCTACAGACTCGGAGAAGGCCATTGGGTGCCACAGTTCGGGACGATGGCTCCCTCATTGCTGTTTTGTCCTCCACGCATAGAGTTCATATATACCAGCTTTCTGATGATGAAGCTAAGCACATTCAAGTTATCACGCTGAACGATGCTCCGAGGGACATCGCATTTTCACCAACAGGGAGCGTTCTAGCATTAGCCTTTGAAGATAGTATCGAGGTTTATGCGGTGGGAGAGGATGCTAAGCCGACCGATCGCCGCGCAGTGCGTTGCCTTCGTGTCGATGGACTTTCGTTCTCCCCTGATGGGTCAATGCTCCTTGGATCTTCAACTGATTGCGAGCGAGATGGTGTTGTCACCATCACTGCACCTTTCTATACCGAGACTGGAACGGATGCCTCGCCTGAGGAGCTTCATATGCGAATGTGGACAACACAAATTCTCTTCCCTGAGATCACACGCGCATGCACTCACGCTTGCCTCATTGCTGGTCATGAGGACGCAGATGAAAACTGGGTAATAGGCTATGATAGCCAATTGGCAGCATTCAAAGCCCTGAGGCTGAACGACGTCAATGCGGGCGTTGTATATTTTGCCAGTCCATTTTTCGCAGACGAAACAAGAGAGATGCGACCAAGTATGGGGCCTGCAACGGATGATGCAGGAGAACTTATTGCTTTGGGATTCCAAGACTCTGCTTTGTGGATATACGGGGTGCCTGGTCGTTTGGACCTTACTCCTTCAACTACAGGTACTCAAGGTGAACTCACTGGTACCCAGGTTGGTGGCATCCATCACTGCGGAGGCCGCCCACCTCGTGACAACCTCGCACAGCTTAAGAAGATTATCCAACAACCCAAGATATTGATTCGTGGACGCTGCGTCGCCGACATGAAAGGAGTTACATCTGCTCACTGGGTACGAGCGACTGATTCAACGTCAGAGACAAGAAGTCATCGCCGTAGACTTGTCGCAGTTGCTCCGGGTGGTGTGCGTCCGCAGATATTTGGCGAAGAGGATATTCCGGTTGACGGTGGCCGGGTGCTCCTCCTGGATTTTGAACGGTGCACAACGAATGGTGAGACGATTGAGCTGGATATTGAAGTCGGAGAAACAGCACCCAAAATTCTCATGGAACCAGACTCCTCTATGGACACCGAGGTTGAACTTGAAAGAAGGCGAACTCGATTACATCGTGGAGATACTGATACAACATTCGCATCCGCTAGTCATCGGCGATTAGTAGCTGCCCAAGGAAGTCGGGTAGTGCCGTTTCATTTCCGTCGATTCAGTGTTGCAAGCCCTACCTCGCCGACTGACACATCTCGAGGCGATGTACTTGATCTTCCATATGACAACGCGCAACCTCGTTCGAGCGATGTTCTCCACCGCGCTGCTACGGCAGCTGCATCAACCCGCGGGCGATATGATCCACGATATCGCAACTCTCCCAATCGACGACAAGTTCCCCATGAAAGCGACGCCGATAACTGGGTACCGCCTCCTCCCCCATACAAACAGGAAACAGAGGTACCGTTGCCAGACGATCTACTCAGAACCCTTCTTCCGAGAAACATGGTAGATGCCCAGGCTCTCAACGACTCTGCCAATCATCCTGGACGAGCACAAACCACTCGCATTGCACGGCCAACTGTATCAACTCGCCCACGCCCACAATCCGCGATTCTGCAAAGACTGGGCACTATAACTGGCCCCAGACGCAGGGGTAGCTCCATTGGTAGAGAAGATCTCTACTTTAGCCAGCAATCCGAGAGCCCCACAATCACAGCTCCCCGGGAACAGTCCGTCAACAATATCCCGCCATCAACCCAAGGGCCTACCCCACAACCTGATACAGCAGCGTCCCTGGCACATAACCACCCAGCCGTTCAATCCCCGCCCACGTTTGCCGTGCATCCTGCGGAACAGACCATCCAAGAGAATCCAATGCCCCTTCCATACCTGGGAGCATCCGCGCTGGGCGATGCCTACTTCCCATACTCTGTGTCGTCCCCAAACCTCCTTCACATTCCACAACCGCATGGTGATATGCAGGAGACAGTAGCAGATGATGAGCATGAGATACCTCAGAGACAGCGCTCGTTCCGTAGGCGGGTTTCAACGGAGCCTATTAGCTTACCACCACCCGAGAACGAGGAATGGAGACGCCGTATCCAGGATTGGAATGAACATACAATCAAGGAGCGAGGGAGGAAGCGGAGGGGGAAGTGCATTGTCATGTAGCGCCTGTCTGTCATTTATGCATTGTGTGCTTCATACTTGGAATTTTATACCTTCGTTAGAGCATTGTTATTTGGCTTGTTTCACAGATGAAAACAAGACGTGAAAGAAATCTGTGCATATGAATTGTAACGACTTGCTGTCATTGGCCCCGTTATGCGACAGGACCCAAGGAAAAGATAGAACCAAAGAGCACCCAATACTCGATTTGTAGTACTGTAGGATGCTGTCTGCATAAACAACAATGAACCCGTACTACATCCGGGAAAACCGATCATCATCTCAAAAAAATCACGTATCTCACACCATATGTTGATCCATCAAAGATGCACCGATGCTGGTTCTTTGACCCGATTGGATGAAGGAAGGCTCGGGGATTGAGGTCACGGGTCCAGCGGAAGCCCTAACAGTTAGCAGATGGAAACTCCAAACAAGACACAACCACGACATACCCCAATATTCGGCGTAGGTGTTTTCTCCGAGAAGATCTCACGTTCGGTTGCTTGGCCACGGGTGTCGAAAAATACCAGGAATCTGCCAGCGCGTACTAAAAATCATGAGGGCCAGAGCCAAACCCACAAGTGGTGCTGGGCTCAGAGGCGACGCAAATAAGCAAAGCAAATAAGCCTGAACGAAAGGCTCCCATAACTCGGTGAGTGGCTGGTCCACTTGCTTCTTCTTTCTCTGCTTTTCCATACATCTTCTCGTTGTCTGCGACGGGCGGTTCGCACGCTTCGAACGTACTGAAGGGAGAGAAGGGGGGGGCAGGGACTGCGGTTGCCAGAGAGCTTTATCCTAGTACTTGCGGCGCATTTTCTCTTTGCTTCGAGGGACGGTTATTATGCTTCAAGCGTACCGGAGGGAAGGAAGGGCTGGAGCTGCTCATACTGAAGAGGGACAAAACAAAAGTAGAGGGGTTGTAGACAGAGCCGAAGAACAGCGCAGAAAGGGACACTGGATAAAACGTAGGACTAACGGATAAAGCAAGAGGAGAAAGGTACCCGACAGGAGGTGTTGTGGGGAAGAGATGCAAGAATTTAAGACGATAGAACGTTCCTTCCTAATATGGTCGATCGATCCTTCCTAGCCTGTCTTCTTGGTGTTTGTCTTTTCATATCATCTCTCCTCCCCCCTTCTTTCTATTTCTCTTTCCTCTTTTCCCCAACTCCCACCACCTCATCCAGCGTCCCCCTTGGCGCTGTGTCTCTACTCCTGGTCCACGACGCCTTCCCGTTTTCGTTTTTACCTTTCAGTATGTGCAATCCTAACCATCCAATCCCGCCTTTGCCATAACATTTATGGGATTTGTAACGCGCCAGATCAGGTTGCTAACGCATCTTGGACACAGAACAACAATACCATCTGCCGCTCCTCAAGATGCTTATCCCATTCGTGGGAATGTTTGCGGCCACGGCTCTCTGGAGCCAGTGGTTCGCTATTCCTGGGCTCACTGAGCCAGAAAACTCACTCACAAAGAGGCTCTGCGGCTCCTTTCAGCTTACCATGGAGCTGATGGCCTTGGACGCACTGGTCAATGGTGTAACCTCCGAATACGACTTCCCTGCTGATATGACCATGCATCCAACAAAGGTCTGGAATTTCGACTGCGGCACAAAAACCGGCTTTCACCCCCTCAAGCAGAAAGATTCCCACCGCCACCTCTCGTCTCGTCCCCGATGCCTTCTTCTAAACCTCCTCGGTCGCGATTCTTTCGCTGGGCACAGGGCATGTTTTCCTCTCATGACAAGCAGCAAAAGAGTGGTACCCCACACCTACTCAGCCCCAAGCATCTTCCTTCAATGGAATGGATTACAACGTTGTTCTATTCCTGCAGTCTTAATCCTATTTCTGCCCTGATCCTCATTTCGGTACTGCTGCTGCGGTTCGGGTTGTATGCTCAACTCCGTGATGCCATTTATTACCCATGGAGCGAGCGTTTTTTTGATGCGCCAGAGGGTATTGATATCCCCCCTGACCTTGTCAATTCTCTACTGTCAGAGGGTTATGCGCTTTACCAAGATGTGGTACCCTTCTTCCATGATATGCGGGAGGTGGGAAACCCAGCGTCACAAAGATACCTCGGACTAAAGGGACACCCCGTACCAAAGGGACACCCCGTACCAAAGGGACAGCCCGTGCCAGAGGGCCATCCCGTGCCAGGTGTACACCTATTGCCGAAGAAACTGCCCGTTGTCACCTCGACTCATGTGTCCAGCACTACTGGGGTGTCGACTGGCTCTTCGAAATCTACTACTTCAGTACCGAAGAAGCAGAAAAGGAAACATGATAGTAAGAAGAAGAGAGAGCGGGACCGCAGATGGAAAGAGAAGGAGGCTGTAAGAATTGCAGGACTTGCCCTGGCCGAATAAATTCTTCTACCATGTGATCAACCTGATGAAACCACCCTCTTCGGAGGTTGTTGGATTCTCTTGATAGCTATCGAGACCCGTGGTCACGTGACAGATAGATCTAAGAACTAGCTAGTCAGAGAGCTCGCTTCCCGAGTCTCTCTCTCTCTCCGGGTCCTGATCCAGAATCAATATCATTGACATTCTATTGGTTCCTATCCCCCGTCAAGAATAGCCCTGCGGTGCCAGTCTAGAACATTGATCACTTCCCGAGGCGGCAGTTTTACCGTTACCTAGATTACGAATAATGTCAATCTCCTGTTGCCTTCCGTGTTCTTGGGAACGGAGGCTAGGAAATAGCGTATTCTCACGTTGCTATAGTAACTTCGTCTCACTTTTTGAACTTCAAGTTGGTCGACTCAGCCTGTCTTCAACTCATATAGGAGGTTGAATATCTTACTATTCCTATACTTTACCGCACACTCTCTCTTTTATAAACCCGAACATAAATTCCCTTATTGTCCTGATTCTCTAGTGCCAAAGGAACTCCAGTGGCAAAGGAACTGGCAGTGCCAAAAAAGCTCGCTGTACCACGCCGTGCTACGTAAAGTAGAGAAATAAACTGTCGGTCCTAATATGATTCTAAACAAGAAGTCCGCTATATCCTCAAAATTATGCTAGTGTTCCAGGGATCACTTCCTCTAGTCGATCTGTGAATGCCCGGAAGAACTTTGGGGCTCTACATATATTGTAGTGACGGACTATCTGTCCGTTACTAAACAGAAGGGCGTCAAACGCTCTAACCAGGCGGCCTATAAGCTTAACCAAGTGTATCTTATCTATAGGGTACAACGCTATATTTAATCAAGGCAACAATTAAAACTCTATAGAAGTATATACCCTTAAGGAGGGCTCGAGGAGGGAAACTATTAGGCAAATAATTGTTCACTCGTTTCTAGCAATTCGAATGATGGACTCTGAGACGTCTTGTTGCTGTGAAGAAAGCGAATTTGACTTTATCATTTTGCACTGGAAAGAGGAGTGGAAACCAACTTCGTTTTATCACTCTCTTCGTCCCCTTTCAAAATGCACAGCTTGGTGTTTGACATCGCAAGACAAAGACAAGTTTCTTCCGTAGCCCTTTCATTGAAGCCCTACTGGACCAATTCAACCCCGAGCTTGTTTCTTAGCATGGAGTTCATTCTTCATTCACGTATATCGGGGGTTGCCTGCTTCCGCAATGCGACGTGACTTTGGCGTCGTGCTATAGAACGCGTCCTGACAGTGGCTATTGAGAATTGCTGCAGGCGCTTTTTCAATTGCAGTATCCCACAGTGTAATGGTGCGATTTGTGCTAAGCATGTATTGATCTCTGGAACTTGCTGGTCACATCGTGTGGATATGTTCTTCCCCGTTTGCAGACATCGCGCCACCTACTTGGAGTTCTTGTATGAATTCGGATCTCGTGTATAGCCACATGTAAATGACAATGTAACAACCATCATGCAAGGGCCGTAGATCGGAGACTTTTGCGTAATCTTGTCCCTGTTGTCTGAGGCCAACACTGACTGTGTCGCCAACTTGACCGTCCACTTGTCTAGTGGTGCTGAAGCCACACATGAAAGGAGCTTCTAACGGGTTCGTTACTTACTGGAGCTGGCCGAAAGCCTTTAACGCCTTCCACGGGCGACGAGTAAAGCTTTTGCGCTGGATGTGTGAAGGGCTCCCGGACCGTTCGAGTCGCACCAAGTTCGTCAGTAGTTTAAGCTGCGGCACGTAAAACATTCTTTATTCTGTTTGAGGATCTCGGTTGTTTCGAAGACCTCATTGAGCCATGGACTTGCGTTGTTTGATTTTGATGTTGTCGGATGGAAGTAGAACCTATCAAAGGTGCGACACTAGACTCGGCATCCGGAATTGGGAACCACGTTTAATGCCTGTTGATGGCATTCAAATGAGGGCTTATATGTTTTTCTAAAGTATTTGAGAGCGTATTTGACCGAATATTTATACGGTGGCTCATCAACTAGTACAGGGAATGGAAATTGCAGCGTTGAAGCTATTTTGAAGCTATATGTGAAACAAACTTGCTTAATAAATCTAGGGAACATCCTGAATTCGTTTGAGGTCGGTAGTTTTATAAGATATTCTAGAACTTCCCATAATTTCAAAGCTGGACAGACAATGAGGGCTAAGGAATCACATCGGTAACTACCTCCGTATGCAAAGCCGATGCTTATTCCAGAGTGAACTTCTCACTATATCCAATTGGGCCTCTACCATCGTTGGTGTATGCGACCAGCCAAACATCACTACACAGACCAGATCAGCGTCATATTCTTATTAAATCAATGACGCAAGCTCAAGTATTTATTTTCTTACCCTGGACGAAGCAACTCTCTTGGTACCCTAACAGTAGCCTTTTCTGGCTCAGCCGGAGCGACACCGATAAAGTCGAATGTTTTGAAGTCTCGAGTAAGGAAGAAGCCGACATCCTCCGTGTCAAGTCTCCATGTCAGGTCCCAAGTCCGACGCGATTTCATAACGGGCGTATCGAGGACTAGCGCAAATGTGGCAGGCGCAAGAGCGAGGATAGAGAGCAATGAGAAACGCATTATTGGCTATGAATGAACTCCTGAGGTAAAGAAAACCTGGTGCTGAATATATACAGGAACGGGATTGGAGGCTGTTTTTATAGTGGTCATCCAAGAGCCAAGCTGATGACATATTTTTTAAAGGGTCTCATTCTAAATGCGCGCATCTCTGCAAAGCAAGTCATTGCGGGGTATACACTTCGCTAAAATGTTTGGCATTACTTGGACCCGGGATTACAGTGTATAGGACAATCATGTCTCGTGTGATATTGTTTGCATTCACTATCTGCAAGAAAGCCCGAAGATCACGATTGAGCATGGATAGATAGAAGCTTATTGGCCTATACCTCGGCTCTTTTATTCGATACGACATTGTACTATTGCAGGTAAATAGAATATGAGTTCTGCTTACGTGCATACGGGAATTGTCGGCTATTGTAGACTTGTAGCATGACACTGGCACTCGTAGTACATATATTTTCTGCTATCAACATTTTGCAGCACGAGATGCACAAAAAGAAGATGAGCCCCCATGTTATGACATAACTTTATTTAAGACCTATTCTGACTTGCTAAAGAAAGGGGGTGGTCCTCCGCTGAGCATAAATCTTTCCCCCGTCGACGCAATAAAAGGGGATACATGCATGTAATGCACTACGGCTTAACCGCTAGTCGCGCCACCAGTATGTGGTGTGATGAAGGTCTCACATATACGGGGTGGCGTATTGAGACTAAGCTCAACGCAGAACTATTTTGAAAATGGAAGTCCAAGTCTATGGGGATCTGTGTGTAATTCAATAACTAAGAGTAATTGTTATTCGATATAGTCCAAGTGCAAAAGTTGTGAGGCTTGGCGTTTCAAACGGATATTCGAATGAGCATCTGAGCGATCAATTGAGCGAGCAATCAGGCCCTGGCTCATCAGCTCCCAAGGGGAACATAAGCTAAGTATTTGCTTGTACGTAGGCTTTCTTTTTTCTAATGTGTCTAGCCAATTCTTCTTAGCTGACAGCACCTGGCGTTCGAAAAATTTACCTAAGGCCTATCTATCCACACTTGTTCGATGACTGGGATGTTCCTTCAAAAATCCGATAGTCCTAGTGACTAAAAAGTGTAGGAAATTTTGACTGCAAAAGGGTAAGATTGGGAGCACAAAAAAAGAACCTGGCTAAATTCGAGCAGTGGGCCCAAGTCCAGATGAACGCCTTCAGGAAAGGAAACGCTTTGATTGATACATAGGTATTACTGACATGCATATGAACAGAGAAATAAATTAAAAACAGTCTAAATAAATAGCAACAATGATGACAATCTAGACATCCAACTAAGCGGGACCATCACGGATCCGGAGAAAAGTCTTATACTGCCTCCGAGTGAGCTAGCGACACTTCTTACCTAGTAACTCATGGGGATAGTAGTCATAGTAAAGAAGAAACTCAGCACACTAATTGTAATGAAGACCGAGTCATCATAGTCTCCAGTGAGAACCTAAGGACATTCCGAAGAAGGAGCGCGTCATCGTTCATGACGGTGGTACCGTTGGACGTTCTGCATTGGATGGCTATGACAGTGACCTGGAATAAGATTACCTCTTCCAGGAGGAAGATTAATGTAACAAAGACATAGTCGAACAGAATATCAAAAGCGACATTGCATTACTTCTAAATACCCTAACTCCTCTAAGATCACCGAGTATCAGCAAGGCCGAACCTCTCATCTAAACAACAAATCAAAAGGATTAACCACTTTTCAACTCTAATACAGAAATCCAAACAACCTAAGCCCTGAAACGACCACGGCGGAAGCGAGGCAAGAAGGCAGGCACAGACGCAGCCTCAGTGAAGTTCGCAGTGATAGTCATATTCGAGATAGTCGAGTTGCTCAAGATAGCCGTGATGTTTCCAAATGGGGCACGTCGAACAATATCAGGGGGCACAAATACTCGCTTAGTTGGCTTGACTTGGGAAGGACTGGTGCTGAACTTAGTCTCTGATTTGGTCTCTGACCTGGAAGTCGAGGTGGTTAAGGTGCTGCCAGTGGTCCTAGTCGCGGAAGAGGAGCTTGTGGTTTTGCTGGTTCTCTCTCTGGTGCTGGTTGGGACGAAGGGAGTCGAGGTGCGGGTGCTGGTGCTGGTGCTGATGCTGGGGCTGGGGCTGGTACTGGTACTGGTGCTGGTACTGGTGCTGGTGCTGGTCGTGGTGCTGGTTCGGGTGCTGGTGCTGGGGCCAGAGCTGGAGCTGGAGCTGGTGGATTTCAAGACTCCGCCACTGTTGCTTGGAGGGACCGTTGAGCTGCCTCGGCCTGTGGTGGTTGATCCACCGCCGCCACCTCCAAATGTGATGCTTCCACCACCACCTGTCGGGTTACCACCTCCTGTTGGATTACCACCAACTCCGCCTCCACCAGGGTTAACTCCTCCAACAACTCCTGGATTTCCACCACCATCTGGGTTACCTCCACCACAACCACCGGGATTTCCACCACCGGGATTTCCCCCACCACCGCCTGGATTACCTCCAGCAGCAGCAGCAGCAGAAGTACCCGGGCAAGGGCAGCCAGTACCGGAGGACGAAGCAGCAGTGACAGTGACAGTAACAGTAACAGTAACAGCAGGAGGGCAAGTAACAGTCACAGGCTCGACAGGGACAACAACAGTCTCCTTAGGGCCGGAGGGACTTGCACTACTGCTGCCGCCGCCATTTCCAGTCTGAGGAGGGCCGCCACCTTCACCACCGCCGGTAGGACCAGTGGTAGAAGAGTGAGTAGTGCTGGGCTGTTCAGTACCACCTCCAGCACCGCCAATGGGAGAAGTTTGAGTAATAGGCTGTCCAGTACCACCTCCAACACCACCAATGCTAGAAGTTTGAGTACTGGGCTGTCCAGTACCACCTCCAACACCACCAATGCTAGAAGTTTGAGTACTGGGCTGTCCAGTACCACCTCCGCCACCCCCGATGGGAGAAGTGTGAGTATTGGGCTGTCCAATACCACCTCCACCACCACCAATGGGAGAAGTGTGAGTACTGGGCTGTTCAATACCGCCTCCACCACCAACCATGGGAGAAGTTCGGCCACCACCGCTTGGAGTTACACTTCCAGGACCACCGCCACCAGAAGGGGAGGTGGTAGAGGGTTGAGTGGTGGAAGGCTGAGTGGCAGGTGTTACAGTGGCTCCACCTCCTCCAGGAGAGGTAGATTTACCGGGCGAGGTCTCTGGGCCACTGGAAGAAGGCCCAACTCTGCCGCTAGTCTGGGGAGTAGCAGTGGTAGAAGGACCAACACCGCCTGTGGAAGGACTAGTGTTGGGGCCAGTGGATGTCTCTGGTCCACCAGTCGAGGGGCTGGTGGAGGTTTCGACAGTGCCAGTTGGAGAACCAGTCGAAGGAGTAGTGGTGCCAGTTCCAGTTTCTGTAGCGCCAGTGCCAGTTGGCGAGGTCCCACCTCCAGGGGAAGTAGGTGAGCTACTACCTCCCTCTGTGGTAGGGGTAATGGACGGTTTACCACTACTACCTACCTCGGTGGTGGTAGTTCTACCACCACTGTGGTGTTGGGTCGAGGACGCTATATCCTCGGTTAGAACCGACAGCAAAGAGCTCTCAAGTGCGGGATGATTATTGCGCTCTTCCAGGTCCCGCCCCTGCAGACGGTGGCGATCCTCAAGACCAGGCTCCAGCGCGACATCGGGAGCAGCCGCGACACTCTGGAGGAGCGTCCAGAAACAGGCCAGCAACAGCAGGCACTTTCTCGAAAACATGACTGGGACGTAAGGTAACGGGGTATGTGCAGAATGATTGAGCAAGGGCTAGCCTAACCGGACAGGCACGGGAAGAAAGATAGAGACAGAGACAGGGAGAGCAAAATCAATTGACAGAGCAGATCGCTTTTGAATTGAAGATTGAATTGGCCGATACAGATATCGATATCGATATCAAACGCAAGATATGAAGTGAAGGAATATAGCAAATTGGATGCAGGATGGAGAACAATCCAAGACGAAGGAGAGAAAACCCAAAGATTCCAGGTAGAGTAGGGAAGCAGCGGAAGAAGACGTGGTAATCACGTCGTGTATTTATTGAGATCCAGAAATGAATGATGGTCTGATGAACACTCGATGCCATCAGTAAGCCAGGTCAAGTATTTGGAGGTGATGTCGCTATTTGTTTTGCTCCTTTAGGACGATGTGTTGGTACCGTGGTGAGAGGGCGACTCGGTTGTCCTATAGGAATTCATTCCCAGGGTTCAATCCATGGGTTGGTGAGGTACTTGTCGGGATCATCGTGACTAGATATTTAGATCAGGGAAGGGGTTGATGTTGTTCCCGCGGATATCTTCTGCGCCCTGGCCAGGTCCAGCCCTAAGTCGGCGCATACCGAAAGTATTGCATGTCTACATATTGCTTGATTGAGTCTAGATGAATTATGGTAATAACTAGTATCATAGAAACTGGTTTTCTTTGTCTTATCTACTTTCCTGCATCTGTTTGGGGTCAATTATAACGACGTCCCTGATGTGCGTAGGTAGGGCTCACCGGGTTGGTTCGGTGCGGAATCGTCATCCGCTGGAAATGGCCTGAGAGCGGGGTGCGATGTCCGCCGGACCCCTAAATTGGGTGATCTCATTTCATCATTTCATCATTTCTATGAAGCCATTGCAGCGGTCTATGGGTCGCAAACAAATAACAGTCATTAGGAGAAACTATGTACAGATAACTCAATGAACAAACGCTCTTCAAATATTGGCTATGGATGCAAGCTGTTCATGTTATCGCTGTAAGAACCAAAAATGAAGCAAAATGATGAAGCAATGGTCTTGAGAAAACCCAACTTTTGTGTCTAACCTTTTAATTTGTGAATCATGAATCGTGTCAGTGTTACCAGCTATCAATATTGGAACACCGAGGTAGGTTATTGTATCCGATTCCGAAATACCAAGTTCGGGATTAGTAGATCGCGAGGGGTGACGCCAGCCAACCTGAATAACCTTTACGGCGGTGCAACATGCCAGACCAGCAGCATAGCAGACAATAGTGAATGTAATCAGACCCCAGTATGATCCATTGCAGCGTGACAAGATTTCACCAGCGATGGGAATTCCGGTGAGAGTACTGTGGTAAACTTTTGTCAGTTATGTGAAATCACAAGCAGAAGCAAAATAACAAAGGAACTCACCCGAAGCTCACGATGGTGTAGGCAGTTGCGTAATACCGACCGTAGTTTTCAGTCTTGCAGAGTTGACCGACACAGACGGGCGTCAAGCTGATGTTGCTTCCACTGGAGAAACCGAAAAGCGCAGAGTACACAATCAGTAGGGGTAGACTGGTCCCGGCGGGCAGCCACAGACAGGCATTGCAAAGTAGGCAGAGCGCTACGGTTGCAATGAGAGTGTTGAAACGACCCAGGAAATCCGCAAAGAAACCTGGGAGCCATCGACCAAAGAATGAACCAGCATTCAGGATTGCGATGATTTGGTAGGAGAATTGGGTTGAGAAACCGTGGTCGAGGGCGTAGGATGAAATATAACTAATCGGCACGAAGAGACCCCACTCGATGAAGAAGACACTGGCAGTTGTAAGTGCGAATCGAGAATCGCGGAAGATGCGGAAATCCGGGAGAATGTTCTCCTTGGAAAATGGCTTCTGAGGCAGTCGAGACCTGATGAGAAGGTTTGCGAGTCCCAGTACAATCAAGCAGATCAATGCAACAACTCGGGTCGCCCATGCCCAGCCAATCTTGGGAAAGAGACTTTCCAGAATCAAAGGGAAAGCAATACCTCCGATAGAACCACCGGTGGCAGCCATTCCAGTTGCGACTCCACGTTTCTCGTAGAAGAAATGGCCAATCGCCGAGATGGCCGGGGTGAAAATGAGAGAGGCGCCGACTCCACCCAGGACACCAATGACCAGCATGAAGTGCCAATATTCAGTGCAGAAACCAACAAGGATGATCATGGCCATTTCAAAGACGGAGCCTGCGAATACGAGGAGGCGTGGGCCACGTGCGTCGAAAATGGGACCGATTTGCACTCCGCAGAAGAAGGTGAGGAAGGCGAACATTCCAAAGATCCATCCAATACTTCCGGCGCTGTATTCTTTCAGCTGGTGTGTTTGGATGTAGGCTTGGAATGTGCCTATGGTGTTGACCAGCCCGAGGGATCCAAACAGGCCAAGGAAGCTACCAAGCACAACCAACCATGCTTGGAGGCCACCCTCGGGGTAGGTGTTGCCCTCTGCATCGGTTGTGACTCGACTAACAGGGTCTCTTTGGGCTGACCTGTGAGACGGGGCCACTGTAGATGCTGTTCGGTAGACTTCATCCTGGGTGGCTTCTTGCTCTGGGGCAGGGTTGGTCAAGTCGGGTTGGGCTTGCTTTTCGTAGTCTGTGTCTTCATTCTTCGTCTTTTCTTGATCCACGTTGACAGGGCTCTTCTCTGTGAATGCCGTCTCAATTGCATGGGCAGTGTTCAAAATATCAGGTCCATGGTCGCCAAAGTTGATATTGGCAGACCCGACATTGGTGGACATTCTACGGAAAGGGCCGTTGTTTGATTCTCCGTGTTTTCTCCACGTTGAAAATGACTTGTCGGAGAGCTGTGAATCTGGGGGAACTGGGAAGAAGTTGGGTAAAGAGGGGTCGATATTAGCAATCGAGACTTGGAGTCATATGCAAATCCAATGGAGAATTTTGCGCGGAATTATTCCCATTGGTGTTAGGGCGGATCCTCGGGGTCTCTAGTCCGTTTTGAGGGTGTTAGAAAAATCAGAGAGCGAGTTTATTGGCAGCCGTGGCTTGGAGTGGAGCTAACAGCATCGGGCAGGTCCAGCACAGCCAAGACATTGTATACCTAGACCAATAATCCTGATCCTTTCTCCGTATTCTGAGCTTTTGATTCATGTGAAGTATATCATTTGACCTTGTGGTTTCCTAGGAGATTTATATACGCCGTCTTGAGTCAAAATATCTGGAAATACTTAGGTCTGGGCTATAGATATAGTCAGTATGTTACTATATGCCACTGATAGCCAGCTACCTATCATGCAGCATTTCCCGGTAGTGTTGGGGTAGATCCTTCAATCATAATGCAGTAAGTAGGTGGGCAAACAGGGTCATCTATCATATGCAATTGGTGACTATATGTACCAGCTTCATCTACATGGACAAATATATATAACCACTCGATCGATAGGGTCTCTCCCCTACAGTGAAATATAATATCGATAAATGACAGCAATACCCTTCCAGATCACTTAGCCTACGAAACATGCTAGAAGAGACATCTGCGCCCAGATGTTCATAATAATTAATTTCAATGTAGGGAAATTGTCCAATATAGTGCTATATTGCTTCTGGATCATTAATCACGTTGGGCCGATCTTTTACATCGCACTGGGCTTGTGGTTTAGTGGTATAATACTCCCTTAGCATGGGAGTGGTCCGGGGTTCGATTCCCCGCGAGTCCATTCTTTTTTGCTTTTTGTTTTTCTTCAACCACTATACAATATAGTCTTGACACCTTTATTTTGGCCATTAAAACATAACAACGTGCTTCTCTATTTTCTTATCATCAAGTTACATTGACTCGGTGAACGCCGAGTCCCAGATAACCCAACTGCCGCAAACGGCCCTGAGCCTTATCAGTCTCAGTCCGGTGTACCAAGCCTCACATCCAGCCGATCGCATGCGAACAAGCAACACGCAGAAAGCTTGGCGTCGTATCTTAAACCCCGAAGCTGCAGGCACAATCATATTCAGGTACCGTCTCCCACGTTGTGATTGTTTTATTGGCGACGCGTCCGTTCCCGCTCCCCGCATCTCCGGCCATGAATATAGTCAGGTGCGAGGTGATTCGGCCATCTTTCTTGTATATGGATAATTCACCCGGATATTACGACTGCGAGACCACAGTATCTTAGCAAAGAAAACAGACACTTCCGCCGCAAGCCGGTTGTCTCAAGCCACCGGCAGGCAACCTCATACAAATCGAACTGCATGATGGATGTGGAGGCAATGGTGCTTAGCCGACGGGTTAGTGAGGGGATAAGGACCAGTCAAGCCAATTAGAAGCTGCTCCTGCTCTTCGTATACAAGCTTTACTATCCCAAATTAAAAGATAACTGTCGATCTAGCCGGAATCCGTCGCTGCTCCGACCCTGGTCACATCTGTGCGTATCCCCTCAATGCCGCAGATGCAGCCATGACCATGCACAAATTATTCATTCCAACAGCAGCGTCGTTAAGATAGCAATCCCACAAGAAAGATGCTATGCTCAAACCAATAATAGTGGCAGACTAGCAGACTCAGAAACAAATTTCCTTTTCCGGGGTTGGGCAATGACCCCACTGGAACTGATATCAGTGAATGATCACAATTGACAGGGGCCGCGGAGGCGTAGAAGAAGCATCAGTTAGTCCAAACTAGGTAAGTTCTCCAATCTTCCAATCAACCCCCACCAGTCCCGGGGTTATATAGCTGTGCTTCCCCCCACTCAAATGGGCGAACGAATATTTCACTCCCCCTTGGTTCCTGACTCGGGTCCTCTATACAGACCCCAACAGAATGTTGCTCAAATCGGTGGTGACATCCGCACTCCTGGCCCTGTCACTGGGCTCGGAGGTCGTGGATGCTTCCAAGCATGGTAAATTCGGACAGAAGGCACGCGTGCCTCAGGAAAGGGCGAAACGAGCCATTGAGGCTCGAAGCGAGGAGAAATCGCACCCGAAGAAAGACTTTCGCTTTCTGAGCAAGAATACTGAGCGT